CTCTCTATCGCCTCGCATCGCCTCCCGAGTCAGAAGGTTGTAGGTTCAAGTGCCCAAGTCGGGGGACTTTGAGCTCATATGGTTTAGGCTGACGATCCAGCACAGGGTGTGTGTGTGTGTGTCGGTGTGTGTGTGTGTGTCGGTGTGTGGGGGATGGGGGATGAAATCATCCCGCGGGCTGGATGCACTGTAAACCTCGGTTCCATCTACACATTAAAGATCCACCTGAATTAGAAAAATTATTAGAAAAAAGTAGGCAGTTTCTCCCACCTCTTGGTGGTGGCAAAAGATTGGGGGGGTGGGGGGGAGCTGAGGAAAGGGTTTACCCTGAACCGTGTTCAGAGCACTGTCCCTGCTCTGAACGCCCTTCTTGACTTGAAGAATTATCCCCATCAGCTCTCTCTCTCTCTCTCTCTCTGTGCAGTGTTTTAACCTGAATGCAAACCTGGGCTGCGTTACAAACAGATGGACGTCTTTCAACCCAAAATAGACCTCGGTTGGCAGAACCCACCAAAAGCCAGCGCAAAGTGGAACACATTTGTCAGTGTGGTTCTGCGATTGATGAGTTGTGAAGTTAAAATCTCTAACTCTAAATTTTTCTAGGAAATCGCTCACAGTTATTAGATCCTGTCGAGGAAGAAATGCTCTCAATCGATGCTGCACTTGCAGATCGATCGTGTAAACAAATGACTTGATTGCACATGGGATCGGCACGTGGGTTCAAAAGGCCCCACGTCAAGACTTTGGACTCGCTTTGAAAGGCTGGCAAATCCAATGCAGCGCTGTATTGTTTGGAGGCAATTAAACTGAGGTTGCGTCCACCTGTAGATAGAAGCTAAAGATCCCATTATTCTATCTGAAAAGAGAAGGGAGTTTCTCCCAGTGTCCCTGCTTGGCCTACCATTCTCCAGTCAACATTGGCTATTGACTTCATGGCTGTCTATGGGACATTGCTGTGCACAAATTGGTTGCCACGTTTACCTACTAATGAACCGATGCTACACTTCGCAGAAAACACTGCAAAGCGCTTTGAGAGGGTTCCACATTCATCTCTCACTCTCTTCAGGCCCTTGAAAAAAAACACCTAGTTATTCCATTGTGGCCCTACAAAACACACAGTCACCATCTTATAATAATAAGATAATAATAACTTCACATCATATCCAGCGAAGCACTTTGAGATGCTCTCCGAACCTGAAAAGTTATATATATAACTATATATATCAAATATATATGTAAAACTATATATATATATATATATCACTATATCAAATGCAATATAAAAACATATGGAAGTCAGTTGTACGATTCGCACAGATGTGTTGCCAAGAAGCCACATGTGTATGTGATTTCCTATGGTCATTAATAATACGAAGTGATTCTGAGTCAGGGAAAATGGCATTGATTTTCATCAGACCATTGGGTTATGACACTTCTGCATATTCTATATATTACAGAGATTCACATTCTTCACTACTTGAGATAAAAAGTTATTTTTAAACAACCAGCTCATGGCAAAATTCTTACCAGCGCAGTCATGGTTTTGAGCACCGCCGGTTATAAAAACAATACGGATAATCCTTTTTTTATATAAAAAAAATTCATGTCAGGAGGACGCCTCAAAGAGCTTCCCAGGATTTTACCGTAAAGTGTAGTGACTGTATATTTCGTGGGAGAAGATGGTGATTTGCACACACTGACATCCCGCACACGGCCGTGATATAAATGACGAATTTTATCCGGGGAAATATTGCCCAGCACGCCCATCTTTGTTCAAATAGCTTTGTCTCGGGATCTTTAACATCCATCCGAACAGGCAGACGGGACCTCGGATTAACATCTTATCCGAAGGTTGATGCCTCCGATAACACTCTCTCTCAGAGAACCACCACCTGATGTCTTAGCCGAACGTTGTTAAAAATCTGAAGGCGTTATTATTATTATTTATTTTTTTATTGCAAATAAAGTAAAAATAACTAGAGCAGGGCTGAGCACAAACTGTGTAGGATTCCTGGTTGTATTTCGCATTTAATTCTTTTAAGCTGAAAACGCAGCTATAAAAATCGATGGCTTTGTTGTGCAATGGCAAATTCTCGAAATTTGACCTTTCTTTTTAATATCTCGACGCCGTTTCTTATTTATCTTTGGACCCATTTTATCCCTAACCGTTATATATCTATTGGGCACAAACAAAAAAAAAATCGCATGCCACTAAGCGACATTAATCTCCAAATATGTTCCTGAGAGCAACTTGCCCGTTTATTACTCATAACAATAGAGACATCATTATTTGAACCGCGGCTATAAATTCACCGGGAGCAATCCGCCTTTGTCCAATAATGTTACGGCCCACTGTATAAATAATTGTGATTAAACTGTCAATTGTGTGATGATTTACTGCGTCTTTTACATCAGGTTTCCTCTATTAAATTACGGCATTAAATTTACGCATCAGTGGGGGGGGGGCGGGAATGAGGTGGTCACTTTGGTGCAGCCAAACCGTCGGGTTTTTCAATGGACCGTGCCAAATAGCGGTAGGATTTCAGCCCGTGTCTGCCACCGCGCACAACCTGTTGAGTTCTGGATCTCGACTGCGCCCATCGGGCAGAAGGGGCCATGTCTCAAAGACAAGAGGCAGACTCACCCCTTCGCTTGCCATCGGGGAAGCTCTGCACCGGTTGGTCAACTTCTTACCCTTCTGCGTTGAATTTAAGAGATGCTTGAGCTGGAGCAATTCAGGAAACCTTGTGATCAGATTGCGACAGTGATCGGATCGAGACACGGTGTGATTCGATTGAGATGCAGTGAACAGATTCGGATACGGTGATATCCTTATACCGCGACGCAATGATTCCGGAAGGATGAGATTCATGCGGGCCAAAGGGTTTTTGTCGTCCACACCGATCGTGATAAGACGTGATAAGGTGCTAGAGCAAATGCAAGGATTATTGTTTTGTATAATAGAGCAAATTCTAGGAATATTATTATTAAAAACATATATTGTGAGGCTCGCGCCAAACCTGTCAAACACAAACACAGCAGTAACAGCTTCCAGATCTTTCCAATTTAAATTAGATTCTGTCCTTTCCTCAACACTTATCAGGCCCCACAATTGGGATTGCAACAGCCGCACTTAACCCCTTCACTCCCGGCTCCACGCGAGGCCCAAAACCCAGGAGACTGAACTCTTGTCGCCTGGGCTAACGCTCCGATGCAGCGTCCGGGGGAACATTGTTGGTGGTGCCGTCCTTAGGATGAGGCTACGTTAAGGTCCCGTCTGCCTGTTCGGGTGGATTGTTAAAGATAGTCACTGCACTTAACAGTAAATCCTGTGAAGCAGGATGCATTGCACCCTATTGTTCTGGATTTACTCTTTCAATCCCACTTAAAAATGCAACCGCCTCTACAAGGTCCTCTCTTGAGAGAGACACGTATCGAGACTGAAGAGCCCAAAGCTTCTGTAATCATTGCTCATGGCTCCTCATATTAATCTCCTAACCGTACAGTGGAATTGAAATATAAATGACCCCTTTTTTTTTGGACAATTTCTATCCCTCGCCACAGCACCTCTGCGATAAGAGACGTAATATTGGTCACCGAGTGACAATTAGTCAGATAAGACATTCTCATAAAAAAATAGACCCCAGTTTCCCTTTAAAGAACGGGGCCATCGATGCTTAATTACACTTTCTCCCAATGTCCTGGCCAACAATCTCCCTGATAAAATCGCTCAATTCACTTCACGACTGTTTGTCAGGACATCGCTGTCCGCAAACTGGCTGGTGAGTTTGCCTAGAAATCCACATTGACAGACTTTACAGTAACATCCTGTGAAGAATCCTTTGAGACATCTCAACGATGCGATAAGGCGCTATACCAAATGCAAGAAATATTGTCAATGTATAACAAGCGATTTTTGTTTCCTAAACATGCTTTTGTACAGACTTGGACGATTCCTATACGACTGTTACTGTGCGCAATTGGCTGCCCCGTTTAGCCCACAAAACGCACAGACACTACACTTTACGGAATATCCTGTGAGGCGCTTTGAGATGTCTCCATGACGTGATAAGGCGCTGTATCAAATGCAAGTATTATTATTATTGAATGTATCATTTGCTGTGGGTTTTTGTGTGTGTGTGAGGTGTGTGGATCCAAATGCATGACCTGTGCACAGGGGATGTCTTTTATAGGAAACACCTGAAAACAGTTGCTAAGTTGGAAGGGGGCGGTTTTTGAGGGATGGATCACTGTGAACTCAGAGGTGGAAGATTTATTTTGTGAGCCAGTGGAGGGACAAGTCACAGACTGCTGAGCGAAGTGACGATCTGAGGGAATTCTATCTGGACATAGTGATGACAAGTCAGGTAAGACATAAATATCAGTAGTTGAGGTTAATGAGCGTCAAAAACGCTTTCTGGCAGGTTCTTGAAGCTGGAATTGAATGAACAGGTTATATATATTACTAGAAAGACTGTATTTTTGCATATTCAACTACAGTTACTTTAAAAACTTATTTTGCATTTGAATAAACGCGTGAAGTGGGGGGTGGGGGGTTGAATAATCGCGTGGGGAGGGGGGGTGTAAGAGACAACAGGTACAGAGGCAACAATGGAAATACTTGAGGGAAGGCAAAGTGAAAATGTGTAGCTGAATACGCTTTACATTAACACAGAGCCTTTCGCATCAGGAGGAAGTCTCAAAGCGTTGACACTGTGGTCTGGGCATCCAGTGGGAGAGGAGAATGGGCAGGGAGGGGGAAGTTACAGAATGATGAATCATCGCTCTTATCTCTGAGGTAACCTGATGCCTTAAAAGCACAGATCTGGTGGACACTTCCTCTTTCCTCCACCAATTTCGATGACAATTTTTGGGGGACGCAAAGAAAAGCTCTGGCGAAATGTTTTGGCTCAGCGGTGAATTCAACGCACTGACACTGACAGTGAGGTTGAGAGCCAATAAGACTGCGTAACTTTAAACGCAAGGAAGGCAGCAAAGGCTGGCGATGTTTGCGTTCATCTTTATTCAAGCACCATAACAGTGATTTAACGTTCATTGGATAACTATGTTGTACCTTCAACTTAGACAATGGGGTACTGGGTCTTCCCCAACGTTGTTCACAAGTGTACAAAGAGTAGACCTGATCATGTAGCAATTGCACCATTTCGTAGCCTAAGTTCTAGGGCAGAGTGGGGACGGGAAAGGGAGGGGGAAGACTGACGGCTATTTGGAAGTATGTTAAGATGATTGGGGAATGTGGTGGTTCAGTGTTGGATGACAGAACGCCAATGGTAATGGGAGTGAAATGGGGTGAATTGCTCTTCAAAGGAAGACTCAGGAAAAGTACACAGGAGACAAGAGAGGGCACGTGATTAGCTCTTTTTCATCTTTTAGAAGCGAGTTTGTGGTTTGAGCCGATACATTCTATTTGGAGTTGAGGAAGTGGGGGGGAAAAATTACTATAGGACAGCTGGACATTGCAGAACGGGTTGGACTGGGATTTGAGACTCAATTCAGTCTGGCTGATTGGATAAAAGTCTCCTGTCTGATGGGCGAAATCTGACTGCACCCAACATTTAGTGATCAGTTCATGGCACTAAAACCCATTTTAGGATTTGGAGGGTGGGGAGGGAAGGGGTGGGAAGAGGGCCCTTTGTTGCAGTGTAACAATGGAAACTGTGCACTGCATCGAACACATGTATTCAGCCCCGGGAGCTTGATACTGAAGTGAGATTTGCTCCGTTAGCATTGGCTTCGAGCAAACAATACGCAAACAGTGGAACATCACACTCTTGCCACTCTCGTTGTCAACACTGAGTGGCTCCCTCACCCACCCACCCCCGTAAAGTTTGCATAGATATTAATAACCATCTCTTTCCAAATTGTGGAAAGGCAACTGTACTCTCGGGCAACGGAACAGGAAGCGGTCAAATGCCTACAATATGGTGTCTGAGATGCGCTTACAATGATTGTTCAATGACTGCACGGATTTAAAATGTTCGAGCATTTTTAAATGGTTAAACACTTGCCTATCCCGTTCAGGTACGCAGGAGTTTAACATTCTTACTTTGCAACGTATTCAAAAAAACATCCTAGTATTGCTGGGAAGAATTGCACCACAGCTAATTGGGAAAGTCTTGGCTGTTCACGCTAGGGTGCCCATTGGGTCCCAAGCCGGAAGAACTTTGGGCTCCTGCTCCATCACTTTCAGGATCTCCTCTGACAGGTGCTTCTTATCCACAATCACCTCGTAGATGTTCTCCGAGAACCAATCGTCCGATAAGACCAAGTAACCTTTAAAAACAAAGAGAAACGGGTCAACCTGTAGCCGCAGCGGCAACAACAAATTATATTTGTATAGTGCCTTTTGGGTCGGGAGGACATCCCGACAAAGCATTGGGAGCTCAGTGGACAAGGCGGTGGCGATTCTTGAAAAAAGATATAATAATAATAATCCTTGCATTTGATATAGCGCTTTTCACGTCTTCGAGACGTCTCAAAGCGCTTCACAGAATAGACTGTAAAGTGAATTGACTGTATATTTGTGGGCGAAATGCAGCAGCCGATTGCGCACAATGTCCCCACAAACAGTCATGGATTGAAATGACCAATTTTTTTTTGAGGGATTATTATCAGGCGTGTGGAGTAAGGAAACTTTGCCCAAGGTTTCACCCTGCCGGGAATCGAACCAAGGTCTCTCGCGTGCAAAGATATGTTGTCCGATTGTGCCAGTGATCTACAGCGCACTGTGTTACACTGTGCAATGATCTACAGAGCACTGCGCCCACTCTGTGATATCCAACCCCCCCACCCCCTCCCGATCCCCCCCACCAGCTCAGATGTGGATCCCTGACAGTCCAGCACCTTGGGACGTCCTCCCGACATGAAAGGCGCTGTGTAAATGTAAATTGTTGTTGTTGTGAACTGTGCCGACACAGTTCCATCCTCTCTCTCTCTCTTTCTTGGCAGTGAGATCAACGGTGGATTAATAGCATTGAGTTAGCCTATAAATAACTGATCTTACACATGAGGTTCAGTTAAGCACATTCCTTGTATGATGGCTGGAAAGGTTTGTAACGCTAGCTGGAATATAGACCAACTGTTTAACAGATAATCCTTCCCAGTGGACTACTGGCATCAATAGTGTGAACAGAACAGAGCACAGGATTACACAACAGATTTATGCTCAATTGGTCCTTTCGACATAACAGAATAGTCATGCAACTGCGGCTTTACTTGGAATTGTTCTCATTTAAGTTTGCTATCTTGTTGATCTTTAAGATGAGATGACTTGCACAGTTCTTGAAATGTAAACCCATACAGTGAGCGTCAGCTGGACATGAAATGCCTCAAAATTCCACTTAGTCTTAGCCTTTAAGCCCGGCCTGGCTCAGTTGGTATTACTATTGCCTCTTGAGTCAGAAGGTTGTGGGTTCAAGCCCCAAGTTGGGATTCTGGGCTCGTAGCCTCGGCTGATATTGCAGTGCAGTGTTGGGGGAGTGCTTTTAGATAAACATTTTGACTGTTCAGATTGACGTTAAAGGTCCCACAATGCTATTTGAAAATAGAGAAGGGAGTTTCTCCTGGTGTCCTAACTGACTAGTAATGTTGCACAAGCAGTCATAAAGTAAATAGGTCACTTACTATACGGCTGTTTGTGGGACATTACTGTGTGCAAATCGGCTGCTGCATTCGCCTACAAACGCACTGTAAATCCTGTAAAGCGCTTTGAGACGCTTTGATGATGTAAATAAGGTGCCATGGCAAACAAGATCACAAGGAAATGTGGAATGAGACTGGAGCACGTAAACAGGCCATTCAGTCCAACTAATCTGTGCCGATGTGTGGAATCTCCTGAGATCACTGACTTTCAAAGAGCGGGTTGCTTCAAAGCGTGAGTAGATTTTTCTATTATAAAGCCACCAGGCAGCACGCTGCTGTCACCTATTTGTAAAACCCGAAAAGGTGCTTTTGCTGTGAGTTTCAGCATTCGCTTTCAGCTGGAGTTAATGAGCTGTCTCAAACTGATCGCGCGAGCAAAATGTGTCGCGGGTCTTGGGACTTTCACACGACACTGCGTGTCGGAACATAAGACCGAGGGTCGCTGTGGAGCCGACATCCTAACGCCAACGCTGCAAGTTTTTCAGTACAATCCAATTTTCACTTATAAAGCGCCCTATCAGATCGGAACGATGTACGTCTTAAAGAGCTTCCACAGTGAAATGGAGCGACTGTGTATTTGCAGGCAAATGCGGCAGACAGTTGCGGACAGCAATGTCGCACAAACAGTAAGTGACCAATTTTTTGGGTGGGGGAATTGTTGGCCAGGACACTGGAAGGGAGAAACGCCCTTCTCTTTTTGAATAGTGCCGCGGGATGTTTAACACCTTCTACAAACTATAGAAAAACAACTTCAATACATCTGGGCGCTATTTCGTTTTTTTTTTAAAAAAGCGCCACGTAAGTATGAGCAAATTTGGTCTCAGGTGAAATTTCTTTTCAAGGAAGTCTGAAAACTTACAGAAAGTGCTTGAAACTTGTTTTTTGTTTCCCCTTTTGTCCGTGCACATTGGTTATTCTTTCGCTCTCTCGCTCTCTCTGAATTATCTGGGCCAAATCAAAAGGGGCCAACTTTTGACCTAAAAAAATCCCCTGAAGAATGTCTCCAGTCAGAATTTGTTGCAGTGATTGAGCTGAGTAATTATCTGCAGAATTTTCTTGGCTGAAATTCACACCCATGAGGTTAAATGCCCCATTCAATACGCCATCTGTTATTTTCTCCAAATTGGACCACTTATAGGTCAAGTGAGCTGAATAATAAGCAAAATGCCTACCCAGTGTGGCTATTTTCTATATCTTAACTGTAAGTTCAGCGCTAATGTAAACACCTGCTAAAGTTTCAGATCAATAACTCTTCTGCTACAAATGCGGTGGCTGCACTTTGCTGTAATTCCTGTGAAGATGTCTCAGCAGCTAATTATCTACTACCATCCTTATTATTTCTAAGCATTATACTGCCCAAGGGATGTTTGCTAATTCAGCACAAATGTATTAAATTCTGTACAAAATAATGGGTGTAGGGACAGTTCATCATTCCCAGTCTCTCTCCTCGCTGGCTAAAGGGCGATGGAAGCGAGGTAAAGCCACTGAATTAGATAAAAGATTATGTTTTATAACCACAAGTGAGGGAGAAGGGAATAGAGGGGTATGAGGGAGGGGATTAGGAGGGGCTATAAGCTCTTGTGGAGCGTAGACTCAAAATAAGGAGGGAGTTTCTCCCAGTATCCTGGCCAACAATTCTCCGAACTGGCTGCCGAGTTTGCCTGCAAATGCACAGTCACTACACTTTGCAGTAAACGCTGTGAAGCGCTTTGAGAGGCTTCCTCCCGCCGTGAAAGGCACTGTGTCAAATGCGAGGTTTATTAAGCTCCACTGCAAACGAATTGGCCTGTTTCCGTGCTGTGACGTTCAGTGTAATTCAATGAAACGGGTTGGATTTTGCTGCAAACGAGCTTCAGGCTTGACACCCGCACCGGCTTACATTTGCTGGAAAGTTAAGTATTTGCGATCAAAGAAATAATAATGAAATTCATTTGAATTCGACATCTGAGCGAGGCTGGACCTTTGCACGAAACTGACTTGCATGGCTGCTGAAAATTCTTTTTTGCGTCAATTGTTGGCAATTACCGTGGCTATAATGAATGGGGACGAGGGTTTGGGTAAATTCTAGCTTTGCTTCCATTGCTTATCAAGTTAATCTGGTTAGCAAAGATTTTCCTCGGGCTGCATAAATGCAGCCAGCCAGCCAGCGAGCTCCAGTTTCTTTTTTGTTGCTGTCTCTAACGTTGTACATTCCTGATCAAAGCGTGAATCACTCCCAACTGGACAGAATTGCTTCTGAATAATCCTATAATAATCCTTGCATTTGATATAGCGCCTTATCACGTCGTTGAGACGTCTCAAAGCTCTTCACAGAATATATTGTGGAGTGGAGTGACTTGTGTATTTTGTGGGCAAAATGCAGCAGCCAATTGCATACAGCAGTGTACCACAAATTGATTGATTGATTGGAGAGATTACCTCTGGAAAACGATCTGCTTTCTTGGGGTAATAATCGGAAGAACTGGGTTCCCGCTTACTGCTAGGTAAGCAGAGTCGCGTAGAGCAAGAAAACTTACCTAAGGTTTCACCCGGTCCAATTAATCAATCAATTAATTAATGACTGTAAAGAGAGGTTGAGGCCAGGGAGCTGGGACTCATTCAAGAAACGCCTTGATGCTTTAATGGGAGGATGGAATTTTGGAAGGATTGGATCAAAGGGGCCAAACGACCTTCTCCATCCAAAACAAACTCGTGAGCATTTCTGAAAGAAAAGTCGTGCCTCCCATCAAACCATATGACTGCTCGAGATGTGTTCGAACCTACCTTTGTTCCCGCTTTCCTCGCCCCATGAATTTTCAACTCTCCACTTTAGAAAGTCACCTTCCTTTTCATCCTGGGGGCCAAGAAAATATTAACATCATTCAATTGTATTTTCCTTGAACCAATTTCTGCTGCATCAGATTTTGAGGACAGAATGATCAAAGGCTACATTTGATATAGCGCCTTATCACGTCGTGAAGACGTCTCAAAGTGCTTCACAGGATTTTACAGTGAAGTGCAGTGACTGTGAGTGTTTTGTGGGTGAACATGGCAGCCAGTATGTGCACAGCTGTATCCTACAAACAGCTGTGAAGTGAACAAAGTAAATTATGCTGGCTTTGTAGAACTTCTTTGTATGTCGAGCCTTTCATATCGATTTGTAGAGCGCACCTGAAGTTCGGTACATTAGAAAAGTTGTATCTGTTGTTGCACTGTAAGCAATATGTGCAGTGAGCGAGTGAGAACTGCAGAACTACAAAAACAAGACTGTTTTCATAATTCTGCAACATTTAAATCCCATTTCATAACTTGAAAGCACAAACTCCAAAAATGCCGATTGAAATCGTAATTGCTTTGATCCCAAGTGAAAAGCGGCTAAGTCTCCTAGGAAGGCAGTAAAGCTGTAATGGGATTTGCAAGTGAAGTGAACAGGAGGTTTGCACAAGTGTGTGGCAGCTAAGTTATCAAGCGCTCTTTATACATAAAGCCATGGGGTCAGGTGCCTTGGGAACACTGGAGCACTCGCAAAGTTGTCTGTGGAGTACGTTCCCCCAGCGACTGTATTGCTGATGTGAACTTCCCGTGCGCTGCAAATACACAACAACAACAGCTTGTGTTTATATAGCGCCCTCCAAGCCAGACGGCAGCCAATTGTCTCACAGACGGCCGTGCATTAAGTGACCAAATTATCGTTATGTGCGTGTGTTTTTTTTTCTTGAGGAATTATTATCAGGCGTGTGGAGTAAGGAAACTTGCCCAAAGTACCGCCCTGACCTGTCGGGAATCGAACCCAGGTCTCTCGCTTGCGAGGTGAGCTTTGTAACCGCTCGCTCTTGGTCCGGTTCGTACGCATCAAACGAGCCTCTTCTATAAAAGTCTCGAGCCCACGTCAAATTCTTCACTGCAGACGCAAATTAAAGATCAGCGGTCGTGATTGAAGGGAAATATGACTTCCTGGAAGTCAGTGGCAGGGTTTTGATTAACTAGGTATTAACAGCTGTGAGCACACGTAATCTATTTACTCTCTGAGACCATTTGCGATGGTTTATGCTGACAATTCGGTCAGGGTTTCGTCACAACCCAAGATTAAAGGAGCAGCTTCGCTTTAATTGGATGTGGGCCTCGTTTGCGTCCATGTATCACTGGTTTTAATTCTATTTTGAATGCAACCTGGATGCTGTCTACGTTATGGCGGTTACCCAATTGCCACACGCGCTGCTTTCTTGTGTTCCGTGCAAATATACAACGAGGAAAATGTGCTTCAGGGTCCGCACAATCGTCTTTGAATCCCCTCCTTAAACCCCAATTCCTTACGTAGGACAAGCCATGGGGTGGGGGGGGGGGGGCTGGAATTCTTATTTTAACCAAGTCTTCGTTTCGCAGTCGATTCTGGTGCAGTTTCACTGCTGATGGCATGTTAACCTCCAACACCCCACACACACCCCCACCCCCCCCACGGCTGCCCGCCCGCCCCCTCGAAGCCGAAAGTACACAGAGGGTGCATGCGTCAATCTGACTTCAAAGCCCAGGTATTAGCTTTCCCTGGCACAAGGCCGGCTACTGTGTGTATAACAGCGTCTGCGCTCATTCTCCACGATATATCACTGCAAAACAAACAGAATCCGTAGCGAGCCAGTCACCTGCGCAAACACGAGCTCGAGCCTCTGGCTCGCAGTTACCTTGTCGGAGAGGCCCGTCAGCACCATGGCGTGGTTCATCATTGAGTCGCCAAACATCAGCCTCTCCGCCTTGCTGAGGTTCCTCATCGAAACGCCAAGCAGCAGCTCTTGGTTGAGTCTGCAAACACACACGAGGCACCGTTCCTTCTGTAAATTTACTGCCAAGTGTTAAGTCTATTAAGTGTTAACCCCCCCCACCCACCACAGTATCGTTCTGTGACAATCACAACACAATACAAATATAATAATAATCCTTGTGTTTGATAACAGCACCGTTATCACGTCGTTGAGACGTCTCAAAGCGCTTCACAGAATACATTATGAAGTGGACTGACTGCCTAGTTTGTGGCAGCCAATTGCGCATAGCAGCGTTCCCGCAAACAGTCGTGGAGTGAGTGACTTTTTTTTCTGGAAGGATTATTACCCTTGGAAAGCGATCCGCCAATCGACTAACAACCGGGTTCCTGCTTACTGCGAGGTAAACCGAGGCGTGTGGAGTAAGGAAACTTGCTTAAGGTTTCGCCCCGCCCAGGAATCGAACCCGGGTCCTCTCGCTTGCGAGGCGAGGGCTCTAACCACTACATAACAGGATTCCATTTTGTAAATTTACCCTGTAAGCATTAGTCTAACTCCCAGTATGATTTTGAAACAATCGCAACACAACAGAAATTTACATTTACACAGCGCCTTTCACGCCAGGCGGACATCCCAAAGCGCTTTACAATAATGGCTTGGACCCGGGTTGGAAGTGGGAGCCAAGGGTGGGATGCGGAGGGAAAGATGACCAAAGGCGCGACGGAAAGAGGTAGGTCTTGAGACAGAGCTTGAATTGCGCATATTGTAAAGGATATTGTTCTGCTTTTCGGTACTTACAAATTCAGGTCACTGATGCCCAACTTGCTGTAAAACTGTTTGTCTATGTCACATCCAAACCAAACTGGCTAAGGAGGAGGAAAGAGAACATAGTAATATTCTGTTAGCGTTCTGAGAAAGAGAGGCGTCTTGTGATTGATGAGTTTAATAACAGTAGTAGTAGTAATACTACTACTAATAAAAATCCTTGCATTCGTCATAAATTAGAAGCTGGTTTACACACGGCTTCGAAGAAAAACAAACGTCCTCCAAATTAGAAATAAATTAAAAGGCTGCCCACAGCTAAAATGTTTAAGGTACAATATTTAAGGTCTTGCAGGCTAAAACCGGGTGGAATTTTAAACCGCCTATTTAAGGCACTTCCTTCCATCAGATTTCTACACAAGCCAGTCGCTCCGTCAACGACTCGCTTAGAAAACAGCTTGATGTGAGAACGGCAAGGGGATGCTCTGGAGATTGAGATCGGTAATTACGAAGGGCTTTCTTTATCCAACCGATCTTGTAATTGATGTTATTTAACATTGTAGCATTGTGCTTCACAGCTGTGTTAGTTTTACGTCAGCCGGGAGTCTGACACACGCGGAAACTCATCACCGTTGCTTAAGAGTAACCAAACCCAACTGAGAATTCCATGCATCCCACCTCCACATGGAAATTCCAGAGATGGGCTGTCGGAATGGAATGTGCATTCTCTCTCTCTCTCTCCCTGGAGGGACACATCCTGCTTACCTAATTCTGGAAAGTATTAGGAGCAGGTTAGCAAGAGCCAAGGCTTTGGGGGCAACCAAAGTGGCTGCTCACAAAAATGCACAGTCCCTGCTTTACAGTAAAATCCTGTGAAGCGCTTTGAGACATCCTCCTGACGTTGTATCAAATGCGAGGATTAATTACAGTAAAACTCGCAGGAGTCTTCTCTTTATCAATGCTACGATCGCCTAAGCCTCCCATGCACCTGTGCCCCATCCAGTTTCTTACCAACAAAACACTTAAGATTTCTTCGTCCCAGTCATATTTTAATCGATCGACTCGTATCTTAACTCCGCACGTGCACTTACTGGCTGCACCGATTCGTGGGGAAACAAGAGTCCTGACCCGTCGCCGCACCCACGGGCGGTGAAGAGTATTGATCGAATCACGGCTTACCCGCGTTTGCCTGTGACTCATGCTTTCACGTAAAGTCGCACGAAATCTTACGGTCCTGACCCAGAAGGACTCCCGCGAGTTTTACGGTGTTATTGTCGGGACTGATGCCATGGAAGCTACAAACCTCTCCGTCCTTGATGGATGCAGCGGCTGCTTTCTTCAGCGTTTCAACGGGCTGATTGTTGTACAGACACTTCCGCCCGTTCACCATATTGCTCAGGAAGTCCACAGTGTACAGCTTTCCATAGGGGTTGGACGGTCTCGGGTCGTTGACCAGGCAGACCTGCAAAACAAGCAGCAGCGTTTCGTTACAGAGTTTTTAAAAAAAACATATCGATCCATAACCCTCGCACTTGATACGAAGCCTTTCACGTCAGAGGGAACCGTCTTAAAGCGCTTCACGGGGATTTGCTGTAAAGTGCAGCGACTGTGTATCTTGCAGCCGATCGCGGAAGCAAACTGACGCATGGCGACGGCCCACAAGCAGCCCAGGGAGCGAGTGAGCAATTTTATCTGCAGGGGATTCCAGGCCGGGTCACTGGGAGAGAAACTCCCTTCTTCTTTGCTTAAGCTCCACCTGAACAGGCGGGCGGGATCTTAGTTTAATTGGACTAGACTACAGACAACTGAACCCAAGGCCTCAGCGGCAGACAAGTTAGGCACGGTCGAAGAGGAAGGTCTTAAGACGCGGTCTAGTTCCAGCAAGGGCAGAGAGAAACAGAAGATGCAACAACAGATGCAATAGAGAGAGAGAGAGAGAGCGCGGGATCGTTCTTACCTTGTCTTCCATGTTGAAAAGTGGCTTGACATGCTCCTTGTAGAAGTTCAGAGGGGTGATCTCCCCAATCTTTTTGTAGTTCTTTTCTTTGTCCCTGTACTCCCACGTGAAGGTTGCGGGAGGGGTGCCCAGGCAAATATTAACTACCCTGAACACCTGCAAAAAGAGAACAACTCGTACGTTCAAATAAATACCTCCAACTCTGCGATCGGCAAGAAATGCAGCCGCAGGTTTGGTTGAAGAAAAGTCCCTTTGGCCCATCTGATCACATCCCTCCAGTTCACCCACCCTCATCACTGCAATGAGTAGCTTTTCAATTGAGTCCAGTGTCCTGGCCTCGACCACCTTTCCCGGTGACTGGTTCCAGTCTTTTTAATTACCTTCTGGCTAAAGGACAAACTTCCTAGTGTCTGTCCTGAAATTGCCCCTCACAATTCTAAACCCATGTGCTCTTGTCCTACTGTCTTGATGACACCCAAAAAAACGTTTTTAAAAAAAAATTTATGGACGTTCAATCCACGACCGTCTGTGGGGATGCGACTGCGCATAATTGGCTGCCGCGATTCTCCCACAAAATATACAGTCGATTCACTTCGCAGTGTATCCCGTGAAGAGCTTTGAGACGCCTCGAAGACCTGATAAGGCGCTGCATCAAATGCAAGGATTATTATTATTATAAAATGTTGACATGGGTTTACCCTTTCCATCCCATTTAAAATTTCGTACGTCTCTATGAGGTCCTCCAGTTTCTCTAGTTGATGCTCATCGCTCTAACACTGGGGATCAGCCTTGTTGCCCCCTCAGTTGTTTGAACAGGCCTTTGATTTCCCTGTAAATCTATTGTTTCTCCTTCATGTGGGTACACAGCCCCTGCCCCAGCCCCCTCCTCTCTCTCACTCACTCACTCTCGCTCACACACACACACACACAAAAATTATTAACTGACGTCTGATCTCATTGCTGGCGGAAATTAGACTGTCTGAGTAAACTAGTGTCGTTACACTTCAAAGCAGCTCACTGCGTCAATATTTTGAGACATTTCGACACGATAAGCTTTGTACCCAAGAATTCTTTTCTTGGGAAGACAGGAATAAAAACGAGTGTTTAAAAATATCTGCGGAACACTGGACTCCTTGTCGGGAACTGTCGGGAGGAGGAAATGTGCTCACATTGAAAGGAAAACACTGAAATAGCACCGGCTAAATGTTTTGCGTTCAATGGCACTAGGTTTCTGTAACAGGAAAGCGTTCATTCTTATTAGAATTTCCTATTAAAAAAAATTTAGGAGGTGTCTTACGAAACTCGGCTGACCAAAAAAAAAAGTCTTACAACAACAATAAAAAATTGCATTTGCATAGCGCCTTTCACGTCGGGAGGAAGTCCCAAAGCGTTGGACAGTCGAGGATTTACACCGTACAATCCGTGACCGTCCAGCACCGCAGCCGTTGGTACAAAGTACGTCAACGAGCCTTCGCATTTAATATGGTACCTTTCGGGCAGGACAGAGTCTTGCAATATTTTGTGTAAATCATTATGGAGCAATGCTTGTATCCCAGATCGGCTACGATTTCCGAACGTCGGAACTTTGGGATCTGAAGCGCTTTGAACTTGAGGGGAAAATAATTTCCGGAGTCCTCACCCTTCGTTTCGTGGAGCGGGTTTGGGCGTGTATGTGACGGTGTGTGTGTGTGTGTGCGCACGTGTGTGTTTGTGTGTATGTGTTCTTATAATCTGTGTTACCGCTTGACATTATGCAGTGGGCTGGAGGGGGGGGGGGGGGGGGAGATAAAAAAGGGACTTTATCGTAAAATCTTTATCCCCTTTCATGTCTGCATGCATAGCCAGAGACATTAACTTATGCCTTGTTAATGTCATCCCGAATCCTGTTTTGACAAATGGCACTGACCCATTGAAAGAAAAGTACACAGTGGGTAAACTGCTCCAATGGTTATTGCAACGTCAATTAATGTCACTCCTAATATTGACATCAAATGGCTGATCCCACTCCTCCCTTGATCCCACGCAAACGTGGAATCAAAATCTAATAGTCGGGTCTTCAAATATTCCCCGGTTTCTCTTTTATTTATTGCAAGTCCGAGAGGATCTAATTCCATCGGTGAGATTAAGTTAAGAATTCAATTTGAGCTGAGCATGGCAAGGCTCTCGGTAAGAAATGACAAGTGCGATAAAAATGGACACAAACCAGGCGGTTCACATTCAAAGCGTTGTCACTGGGTCTGGTGGAACCCTCCCTCGCACCGTCGACAGACGAGGAATCAAAGGTTTGCCTCGTTAACAATGATATTAAATCCTTGCATTTGATGACGTTTCACGCCCGGAGAACGCCTGGAAGTGCTTCGCGGGATTTGCTGTGAAGCGCAGTGACGGTGCGTTCTTGCCTGCGGACGTGGCAGCCAATTTGCGCGCAGGAGTCTTTCTCCCCGCCCCCCACCCCCGCACAGCGCTGCGTTGTGAGTTCAATGCCACCCCCCCGCCCCCACCCCCGACGTGGGGCCTTGCCCAAGATGAAAGGACAGAACTTCAGATCGATCCACTGCTTCGCATCCCCTGTGTGTCATATCTCCTAACACCTGTAACTGTGCTGTAAACAGCTAGCTCGCATCAAGTGTCTTTCCCTCCGTGTGCACAACAGTACGTGACGCACGATAACTTAACCGGCAGGTTTTGGTGTCAGCGTGGCTCAGTGGGGAGCATTCTCGCCTCCGAGTCAGAAGGTTGTGGGTTCAAACCCAACATCGGGATGTTTTTTGAGCTCGTATCGTCCAGCACGACACCTCAGTGCGGCGCTGAGGACTCGCTGCATTGCCAGAGGTCCCTCTGGCTGCCTGTTCCGGTGGACGTTACAAATCCCGCGGTGTCCTGGCTGGACAATTCCCCAGATAAAGCTGATCGTCCGCTTCAAGGGCAGTTTCTGGGACATTGACATGCGCAAATATTAAGCGTTCTGAGACGTCGGGCAGACACAAGGAGGCGCCGTATCAAATGCAAGGATTGTTACGCCGATGGCGGAATGCGAACATCAAATGCGTGGATTATCTTTGTTAAAACGAGATGAAACAAAATGAACAAGTATGTGCAAGGTTTGGGGAAAAAAAATATCCCCAGGATATTTATATCTATTTACGAGCTGAAAGCAGAACTTTCCTTTCTTCCAGTACAAAAGGGGAGAATAACTGTGTACATGAAACGAAGAGATGTCTGTGCATGGATTCCTTTGAAAGGCTTGCTACTCAAACACCATTCAAAGCACCAAATGGGACGTGCCCCCAAGTTGAACCCGAACGAACGCAATCCGTGTGGTTTTCTTTTCCGAAAACGGTTCAAAAGATTTAACGTTGTTTACGTGCCAGGTGACGGACCGACACAGGTGCGCTTGCACTGCAGAATTTGTCGCTCGATCCATTGTGTCTGTGCCGTCTCTTTTAAGAGCAATCCTTTCAGTCCCATTTGCCTTTCCCCCACGCCCGGTGGAATTTCACGTAGCGTAGAAAAGGCGTAAGGTACCAGCTGAGACAAAGACTGACCTACAGCTGCCCATTGTCCGAGGACACAACTAAATGAATAATAATAATAATAATCCTTGCATTTCATATAGCGCTTTTTCACATCTTCTAGACTTCTCATAGCGCTTTACAGAATAGTCTGTAAAGTGAATTGACTGTATATTTGTGGGCAAAAATTGCGCACTGCAGTTCCGACTTCAGCTCTGGGTACACTGTAGTTTTGGCCTCAAGCTCAACCATTGTGAGGCACGAGAGAGGAAGGAGAAAGTAAACTCCGAATAATACTTTCGGATAAAAAGTCACACTAACAATAATAACCCTTGCATTTGATGTCAGGAAGACCGTCTCAAAGCGCTTCACAGGATTTGCTGCAAAGTGTCGTGACTGTGTATTTTGTAGGCGACCGCAGGACAAGAAGGCAAAGGTTCAAGGGCAATCTCAAGATAGACACGAGGAAGTGTTTCTTTACCCAGAGGGTCATCAATGATTGGAACAGGATGGAGAGGGGGAAGTTACCGGGAAAGGTGGTTGAGGCCAGGACACTGGACTCATCTAAGAAATTGTTTGCAATAGCGCAGGCATCCTGGAAGGATGAGATCAAATGGACCGAGGAGCCTTTCATCCAAACCTCCAGTGATCGTTTCTGCTTTGTGGTGACTTGCTAAAGATCACAGAGTGTTGAGGACCCTTTTAATGTCTCTCTGTGTAAGCAGCTGCTCGCTAATTGTAAAACGAACTCACGGACCAGAAGTGGTTTCCTGTGGATCGACGCTGCTTTTTAAATTGGTTCCAATTCAACGCGAATTCAGCAGAAACCCTTTCAAGACTTCAACAATAGCAAAGTACCATCTACATGGGGCCGGATCGGATTACCTGCGTTCTCCGCGAACAAAAGGGGCAGTGAAAGGTGGAATGAACTCCGCCTCTGCAGTTCGGAAATGTTTTCATCGCGGTCGTGCGTCAGCTGTTTTGACTTTTGTTCAATGCGACGCTTGTCGTTCGCACACCTAGGATGTTGCTATACACGTGATATTCACCACAGGAAGCCTCTACCCAAGTCACCGTAAACAAGTGTTACCTAATCTCCGCGGCCAACCCATCACTACAAACTACAGCTGCTCTGTAGCTAAGGTGACAGGTTTATAGGCATTGACACACAGGCGATTCACACCAGCGATCCTCTGTGATTGCATGTGGATGAAGAAGGTCTTTTTGCCCATCAAGGTATCCAACTATTTTTTTTAATATCAGTCTTGGCCTCAATTACCCTTGGAAGCCTGTTCTGTGGTTGCTGGATCCACTCAGACTGAGGTGGATAGATATTTGTTAGGTCAGGGAATCAAGGGATACGGGGCAAAGGGCGGATAATTGGAGTTGAGGTACAGATCAGCCATGATCTAATAGAATGGCCGAACAGGCTGGAGGGGCTGAATGGCCTCCTCCTGTTCCCATGTTCCAGCTGAGTTGTTAATACCTTTCCGGGTGAAGCAAACCTGTCTGTCTTGACATTGCCCTTTGCAACCACAAGCACAAGCTGCTGCTCTGATGATTTGGGGTAACAAAATTTACAGCCACCCCCCCACCCCCACATAGCCGACCGACCGACCCATTGACTGATCGGCCGACCGCCTAACAAGTGCCAGAGAGTAGGTGAGAGAAGAGGGGCGATTCCGCCAGAGCTACAGAAAACTGACGGACGCGATGGGCACATTATTTATCCCGTTGTGCCACCTGCTGGATACTTTTGAAACCGCGCAAAATCTTTTTGGTTTTCTTTTAAAAAGACGGATTTTAAGGTTAGAATAATAATAAAACAATAAAACAACAGCAACAATCATAACAGTAACAATCCTTGCCTCTGACACAGCGTCAAAGTCGAAAGGTCTCAAAGGGCTTCACCTTTTGTAGACGAAAGAGTCAGCCAACGCGCGAACAGCAAATATCCCACAAACGGCCAAGAAAACACACACAGCGTCCTGTAAAAAAGGGTGTTAGCGGAGGCTGGACTCGATATGTCCTCTGACCCTGTGGCGGAGTGGGTCAGTGTGCTCTCGCAGGCACTTTCTCAAGGGAGGGGAGGGTTTGGGGAGATGTTAACCTTTATCAGTCCCTTTTGGACTGAGCCATTGCTGCCAAACCACTTTCATTGAACCCATAAGAAGCGTTTAATTATTCGTTTATTTTACAATCCACCCACACACAAAAAAAAGTCTCACCTCTTCGATCATCTTGTCCTTCTCCTCCGAGAGCTGCTCGTCAGAAGATCCGCTTTTCACCATCTTTCTGAGACGGAAACAGTATTCCCGCAGCTGCAGATCAGAAAAAGGGGAGAGGTATCAAATGCAGGTATTATTATTAGCAGTAATATTTTATTTATTAATCACCATGGAATACTTGTCCATTTCAGTCCGCACTAACATTAATAATAATCCTCGCATTTGATATCGGGCCTTACACGTCTTCGAGACGTCTCAAAGCGCTTCACACGATATACAGTGGATTGACGGTGTATTTTGTGAGCGGATTGCGGAAGCAACTTGCGCACAGCAGCGTCCCATGAACACCCACGGAGGAAGTGACCAATTTTATTTGACGGATTGTTGGCCAGGGCATCGGGAGAGAGAAACTCCCTTCCCCTTTCGAATAGCGCCTCGGGATCTTTCACGTCCACCTGAATAGGCAGACGGAACCCCGGCTTAATGTCTCATCCAAAGGACGGCACCTCCGACAACCAAACACCCCACCCCCAGTGCCACATTGGAACGACAGCTTAGACTATGTGATTCCAAGTCCCAGAGTGGGGCTTAAACCCACGACCTCAGACGCGAGAGCTACCACAGAGCCAGGCTGACACACATTAACAGCTCTGAAGTGCGCGTTTGCTCTCTTCCTTTCGGAAGCAGTTGATCAATATGGCTTTGATGGGGTTAAATTTCAAGCGTCATTTTAATTCGATAACCGGCTCTTACCTTGTGATTCAGAACGTCGTTCATGTGCCTGGAGGCCTCTGAACTGTGAGATTCAGGGAAGAGCTTTTTAGGGATGATTCCGTGTTTCTCTACAGAGTAAAAACAGATTGATTTCTTCTCGTATTTTTATTTAATAATATATATTTATATACACATACGCATTCTTGCGACCACTATCTCCCTTATTTGTTCGTGAAGCTGTCCCCGCTCGCTGCTGAGTGTATTTCTTCCGACCGAACGTTAAATCACAAAGTACAGTAATTTCTTTTTCTTTTGCACACTCAACACAGCAAGGGATGCTTAAGCTTAAGGTGAGCGTTCCCTGGTCGGCTAGGTGCACAATTCAGCTCTTTCCACCATCTTCTGTCTCTGACTGTGTCCCACTTTCAGAAGAGCAACCCTTTAGCTGGTCAGACTCCAGCATTTACCCCAACGCACCCTCTGAGGGGGCCCCAAGCCTTAGCTCCTGCCCACCTGCGCCTAATACTTTACAGAATTAGGTAAGCAAGATGCATCCCTCCAGGGAGAGAGAGCGCATTCCATTCCAACAATCCATCTCTGGAATTTCCATGCATAGATGGGACGCATGGGATTCTCAGTTGGGTTTGGAGACTCTTAAGCAACTGAGATGGGTTTCCGCGCGTGTCAGACACACCGGCTTTGCTACAGCAACGTGAACTGCCCTATTTCCTGCACTTGTCCCATGTGGACAGACTGAGTGAAACCGGGAACGAGGGCTAAGTTGTGGGTGTCCCCAAGCAACGGCGGGTTGAACAGAGCTCCGAGCACCAAGTCCAACCATCGCAGTGACTGCTCATTGCAGTATTTCCCGTAGGATCCTTACAGGGCTGCACAGAGACAGCACAGAACATAACAATAACAATAATCCTTGAGTTTGATATAGCGCCTCATTACTTCATCGAGAAGCCTCAATTCACAGAGTATATTGTAAAGTGGATTGAGTGTGTACTTTGAGGGGGAAACTCCAATTACCAGCAGCGACATCCCCACAAACTGTCCTGGATTGAGTGATCAAGTTTAAAAAAATATATTTTTTTTAACTTAACCACTCGTACGAAGACAAAATCTTACCAATGAGGTTGACGAGCATCTCCCACTGCCCCCCGTCGTTGGCGGGATTTGTGAGCAGGAATTGTAGGAGTCTCCCATCGATCTGTTCTTCGTCTTCTCCGGTTCTCTTGGCAATCTTGGTAAACGTGTCCAGGAAGAAGTAACAGCGTTCAATCTGCGGCGGGAAATGGGGAGAGGAGGGGGGGGGGGAAAGGATGTGGGGGTGGGGGGGAGAAAGGATCAGGTTTGTTCATTCCATCACGGATGGATTTTTGCTCGTAAAGTAACGTTTAACATTTCTAACTCGACCAAATGTGATGGGTGGGAAAATTAAACAATAATAATAATAACCCTTACGGTTGATGCAGCGCCTTTCACGTGGGGAGGACGTCTCGAGGAGCTTCGCGGGACAGACCGAAAAGTTTAGCGACCGCTCATTTTGTGGGCGAACGCGGCAGCCAATTTGCGCGCAGTAACGTCCCGCAAACAGCTGTGAACGATTTTATTTTGGGGCGGGCGGGAGGGAGAGTTGGGGAGGGGAGATTGTAACCAATAACAAATAACATACGTGTACTGCACCTGTCACTTCGGGATGCTTGGCTTTAAAGAAAGACTAGACGGTGAGCTTGAAGGCCTGACGTGAGGCTTGAACGCACACGCACGCACACGCGCACAGCAAATGTGCGACACAAACGTACCTTATCCCAGAAGAACAGGTAGGACGGGCTGAACTCGAATTCTTCGACGTTAAACTTCTTCATGACCGGCAGCCTCAGGATGTTCAGGCAGGAGAAGATCCAGCAGCGACCTGAGGAGATCCGAGAGAGATTGTCGGTCGGGAACTGCTGTTCAGGTTAAATACCCGGCCCCTGTGGTCGCAACACAGAGCGGTGGGACCTGGATCTTTGCTTCCCTCTCCCTTGATTTTATTCCCACTTCGCTCTGTTCCCAAGGGACAGAAGGAGACTCTATCCCTCTATTAGTGTGAGGTGTGGAATACAGTCCTGAGATCCTTAAGTGCAGCACCTTTCACCTGAGGAGGTCACCTCGAAGCACTCCACTGGATTCGGTGTGAGGCGTAGTGACTGTGTGTTTTGTTAGGCCAACGTGGCAGCCAATTCTCGCCCAATATCGCCCCACAAACAGCCGCAAAGCCAATGACTGATTTTATCTCGGGGCGGGGGGGGAGGGGGGATTGTCGGCCAGGACAAACGGGAGAGAAAAACTCCTTTCCTCTTTGCGGATGGTGCCACAGAGTCCTTTTAACGTCCTCCCGAACGGGGCACAGACGGGAGGGACCCCAGTTTGAAGTCTGATCAGAAAGTCCACGCTGCTGACAAAGCAGCCCACCCCCACACACACACACACACCCCCACCCCACACACCCCAACACAGAACTGGACTGTCAGCCTAGACAGCGAACTCAAAAGTCCTGACACCGTCCTTGAACAGGAACAGCGAATGCACGACACAGAGTACTGACGAGCCTTTGCCCTTCTTAGGTGACCATCAACCCTGCTTTGCATTCCCAATATTTCCTGGAAAGGGGGGGGAGGCGAGGTCGGGGGTGGAGGGGGAAGAGAGAGGGGGGTAATTTTTATTTAAAAGATAATCAGTTTTTCGAGGAAAACGGAATGGGTTTGTTACCTGTACTTTTCTGGTTGGTGATGGGCTTGCCTTCCGTGGGGATGACGTGTTGGAACACATGGCTGGTTTCCTGAATGACCGGTCTGTGGAGGTAAGCTTGCAGGAGGTTGCAGTTGGTGGCTACGTTCTGAGACAGAATGAAACTTGGCTCAGTTCTGAGGTTCTTGATGAAGCCCGCAGTCTTTTCTAGCGAAACGCCTGGGAGAGGGAGGGAAAGAGAGAGAGAGAGAGAGAGGACAATGTACTGCTGGTACTTTTGACACCATTTAATAATAATAATCATAATAACAATAAGAGTCCTTGCATTTGATACAGCGCCTTAACACGTCTTCGAGACGTCTCAAAGCGCTTCACGGACTGTATATTTTGTGGGTGCAATAATAACAATAATAATGGAATTTAGCTGCTGTTTCTGATACTATTGTAGGTGAATTGTGCTAATAAGTGTAGGTTGCTGTGTGTAGTAGTAGCTGCCAGCAGTTACCCCAATGCACGTTCTGTGATATAATAATAATAATGATCCTTGCATTTAATATAGCGGTTTATCATGTAATTGTGACGTCTCAAAGTGCTTCACAGGATATACTGTAAAGTGAATTGGTATCGGCCTTTACATATATTCTGTGAAGCGCTTTGAGACGTCTCGAAGACTTGATAAGGCGCTATACCAAATGCAAAGATTATTATTGTATCAATATTGCCACCTCACCCTTCCTTCTCCCAACCCTCCCCCCATTCAGTGCCTGACGCCCGTCACTGTAAAGCGCTCCGAGATGTCACGCGATCTGAAGGGCGCTACGGTATATAAATAGCAAATTGTTGTTATTGTTAGGAGAAAATGTCTTGCAAGCTTTGACTAAGGGGGGGGAAACTTTCTGCTCCCCTCCCTCTCCCACCTCCCGCGCATTGAAATCAAAAACAACAGGCCAACGATCACCTTCCAACTGCTGGAAGTGCAGTAAGGTCGGTGAGAAATCATTCAGTCCCTCGTGCGGTATAATCCGCCTCCGCCTGAGGCGAGAGCACTCGCCTCGCGAGCGAGCGGACCCGTGTTCGATTCCCAGCCGGGAGAAAGGTTGGGCAAGTTTCCCTACTCCGCGCGTCTCTGTTCACCGAGCAGTGAGTAGGAACCCGGTTGTTAGTCGACTAACGGATCCCTTTTCCGGGGGTTATAATCCCATCAAAAAAAATAAATAATAATAATTTGGTCAATCAATCCACAACTGTTTGTGGGACGCCGCTTCGCCCACAAAACGTACAGTCAGTTCACTTTACAGCATATTCTGTTATTCTGTGAAGCGCTTCGAGACGTCTCGAGGACGTGATAAGGCGCTGTATCAAATGCAAGGATTATTATTATTATTATTATTATTACTATCCGTCCTCAGCATCAGAATCAAACCGATAAGGTGCAAATGGGACCCGCAACAGTTGGTTTTGAAGCGCGCAATGGGGGTGGAGAGGAAGCGGGGGTCAATTATAGAAGGGTACGTGCGTGGTTACGGGGAGAGGGCGTCAAACAAACCCACCTGTAACCCTGCCTCTGAAATTAATAATAATAATAATAATAATAATAATCCCTGCATTTGATATAGCGCAACATGACGGTCGTCGAGACGTCTCAAAAGCGCATCGGAGTGAATTGACTGTATATTTTTTTTTGGGGGGGGGGGGCAAATACACAGTCATCTTCAGGCCTTCAGAGTGACTCGGCTGTTGATAATGATGTGCAGAAAACCCTCCCTACTGCAGGCAGGCAAGAGGGCAGCAGCGATCTGCCTCCCTCTCACACGCGGTGGCCTTCACAGCAGGAGGACGTCTCAAAGCTCTTCGCAGGACACCGACTGGGCATTTTGGGGGCCGGTAAGAGGTGACCGATAGCCCAGTCAAAAAGATTCGCAGCAGACAAGACGTCGCTACTGCTGCTGCGGCAGGAGCCTGGTAGGATAACTTTGTGCGGGGGGCAGTCGTGGGGGGGGGGCGGCTTTTGGTAGATGATAATAATCCTTGCATTTGATATACAGCGCCTGATCGCGCCGCTGAGACGTCTCAAAGCGCTTCACAGAGCACACTGTCCAGGGCATCGACTGCGTCTTCGGCGGGCGAAACGCGGCAGCCAATTTGCGCGCGGCCGAGTCCCACACGCAGCCGTGGATTGAGCGCCCCAAATCTCCTCTCGGGTTAGGGACTGTTACCCCCGGAAAAAGCGATGCGCCAATCGGCCAACAGCCGGGCTCCCGCATCCCGGCAGGGTTTAAAGGGGGAGAGGCGCGCGGGGCGAGGACCCTTACTTATAAGATCCACCGCGACGGCGACGGCGGCGGCGGCGGCGATGGGTTAAAGACAGGAGAGGAACGAGGAAGGTCAGACTTTGCGCAGAGCTATCTGCAAAGGTCCTCGAAAGTCCCCCTTTGATAAAAGGCTGGAAATAAGGAAACTGAAAGCACAGATGGGACACAGACACACACACACACACACACACAAAAGAGTGCATTCAGCAGCATTGCCTTCTGAGAAGACAGAGTAGGTTAGGTCACAGGTACAGAGGTGGGGAGAGGGAGAAGGAGGAGAAGGAGGAGGAGGAGGTTAAAGGAGACCAAGGAAGCTTCTTACCCAATGCCATCTTGTGAGTTCCCTGGAACTTCTCAGCAGGAGAACTGATTGCAAACTTGGGATTAATTTTTTTTTGGGGGTTGTGTGTGTGGGGTGGGGGTGGGGGGGGATGGGGGGGGGGGGAGTGATCCTTCTCTCTCTCTCTCTCTCTCTTGGGCTCAGGAAGAAGGGATGGAAGAAAGGTCCTTTGCAATTGGGGGAATAAAGGAGAGACAGACAGACAGAGAGAGAGAGAGAGAGAAGCCGGAAACCGGAACTTCCACCCAAGCAATGGTGCAAAGGAGAGGAGAGATGCAATGGAGCAGTGTTGGCTTGAGGGAGCTCCAGACCTGCTTCCCCTCTCTTCTCCCTCTCTTGGGTGCCTCTTCCTCTCTGCTTCGAAGCCAAGAACACAGGCAAAGCTGTCAGCTTTCCTGCTGTATTAGACTCTCTTTTCTTTCTCTCTCTCTCTCTTGTTGTTCAAGAGGGAGGGAGGGAGGGAGGGAGGGAGGGAGGAGCATGCAAAGGGAGACAGGCAATGGACCCAGATATGATGCAACCACCAAGTGGGCAGTGCAGTGCAGTGCAACTGGCTTTCTCCAAGGCTCTCCCTGCGCTGCACGCCAGCCGCGGAGACCTCGTGCCCCATCCACGCTGATCTACGCCTACGTGCTAAGGCTTTTTATTTTCTTAACCCCTTCTCTATCTCGCTCTCTCGCTCTCGCTCCTTTCTGATAATAATAATAATAATAATAATAATAATCCTCGCGGCCACCGGAAGGGTACGGATGCAAAACGATGGGCTGCGCGTTTACCACAGCGCCTCAAAGCGCTGCACGGAATGTGCCCTAAAGCGGATGAACTGCGTGTTTTTGCGGGGGGGGCGCAACGGGGGCGGCGAATCGCGCGCGGCAGTGTCCCACGAACGGTGTCGTGGATTGAGTGACCGACTTATTCATATTTGTTGTTGTTTTCTTTCTTGGACGTTCACGGTATCAGATGATCTCAAGCAGAAACTATTCGGTGAAGCGCTTTGAGACGTCGTGATGACGCGATAAGCCGCTATATCAAATGCAAGGATTATTAATATAACAAGAATCAAGTCTTCGCATTGCCTGTGACAATAATAATAATAATCCTTGCATTTGATATAGCGCTTTCCACGTGATGAGAGAGAAGGGATTATCTCGAATGCAGGGATTATCATTATTATTTCATTATTATTAATAATTCTTGCATTTGATAACAGCGACTTTTATGTCGGGAGGACGTCTGGAAACGCTGCCCAAGATTTACTGTGAAGTGTAGTGACTGCGTACTTTGTGAGCGAGGGTGGCAGCCAACAGCAATGTCCCAGGTGTAGCCATGGAGTGAGTGGCTGATTCTTAATCTCGCCGATTGCTGGCCAGGACACCGAGAGAAACAGCTTTCCCTTTTTGAGCAGCCCTGAGGGATCTTTAAAGTCCACCTGGACAAGGAGACGGGATCTTTAACGCCTCACCTAAAGGACGGCAACTCTCAAATACTGGGTCGTGGTGTCAGCCAAGACTATATAAGTTCAAAGTCCTGATACGGAGCTTGAACCAAGAACCTTCTGACGCAGATGCAGGAATGATACCAACTGACCCAGGCTGACAACTTTACCATTGCCTGCCATGAAATTCCAATGTTCCTCGACAATTGGTTTACGGTGAGCCAACAGATAAGATGACTCAACTTCAAGGGCATGATATCTACAGCAAAGTCATGGTGAAACTTTGCTTTGTGCAAAAAAATACACTTGAGACGTGAAAGATAGGACACATTTGATTGAAAAGTAAGGAACAAGTTAAAAAGAAACTAAATTTTAGTGATAAAAGTGTAATGACCCGACATTAAACCGAGATCCAGTCTGTCTGTTCAAACATCCGAGGGCTAATTCAAAAGAGATGGGATTTTCTCCCAGGGTTCTGGCCAACAATACCCCAGACATACATTCACGTCGTGGCTGTTTGCAGGATGTTGGTGTGCGCAAATTGCCTGCCATGTTCGCCTACAAAATATACAGTCAATCGCCCTGACGTGAAAGGCACTGTCATAAATGTAAAGGTTATTCTGTTTCATTGTTATTTTTCGGTGCTGTGAGACGTAAAGAGCTCTATATAACTCCCAAGTTGTTGAAACTCGAACCAAGCAATTGTCAAGATGTCTCAGAGTGCTTCAACCTCTCGGCATTTTTAAGGGAGAAAAAAATTCAATGCCGTGACAACTTAAACGGTGAGGAGCGGAGAGAAGGATCTAACTAGAGGAACTCTGTCCTTTACAGAAGGGCAAGTGAATTGAGAAGCACATCGATAAAAATCCCATTAACACTGGAGCATACAGCAGTTCTGCTTAAGCACTTGTGTGTGAGAATCTATCAATGTTGTGTTTGTCCTCCTGCTCTTAAACAATAATGAAATGACAACGTATAAAGGGTTTTAGCTTTGTGGCACCATTACAGGTACAACGCTGTGAAGAAATCTTAGGAACAAAGTCCCTTGAACGAGCATACAAATCACTTTCACTTGAAGCCAATAACCAGTTCACTCCCCCTAGTATAACTTCCATAAAACATTCCAGATAGCGCCCCAAAGCTATTTATGAGACGGTGACTGTAAACTCCAGCTACGACCTACGAGAATGTATGTATTGCAAATAGCAACTGAAGCTTCACCTACAAATTACCCAGTCGTTGGGCTACACTGTGATGTCCGCCTGACATGAGAGGTGCTGTACGAAATGTGGGCATTTCGCCCACAAATATATACAGTCAATTTCACTTTACAGTCTATTCTGTGAAGCGCTTTGAGACGTCTAGAAGACGTGAAAAGCGCTATGCCAAATGCAAGAATTATTATTGTTATATGTAAGGATTATGATTATTATTATTATCATTGTGCATTACAGTTTAAATCACTCTCTTAATGGTTTTCGGTGATGACCAATAACACTGACCACTCTTCTTGATATAACTGAGCTTCTTAAAATAGCTATTTTTTCGGAGGAGGTTGATATTTTGTTCGACAGAACGTTTTTGAACAGTCTTATTAACAGTCTGAACTGCACGGAGGATTATAGGAACTATATTTATTTTACATTGCTGCATACTGATTATTATTGTTATAAGTAAGGACCTTGCATTTCCCGATGGGCCCGCATTGTTTTTTGAGCAGAGATTGGATGTACTTCTCAAAGGTAGTGTTATGTAACGACCTTGAAGTTGGGTGCGTGTTAGCCAATTTTAGCTCGGGAGGGTTTGAGAGGTTGGTGGGGTCTACTTGGACCTGAGATGGCTCCAAGGTGACGTGCTCAGTGAGTCAACCCTATGTGGCAGTAGCCTCTCTCTCTCTCTCTCTCTCTTTCTCAGTTGCCCAGTTCCTGAGCCACGCAAGTCCTCAGTACTCCGAGGCACTGCTGACAGCAGCTCAGCCCAGTCTGGCTAATCGACAGGACTTGGGGAAGGGGACATTGGGAGAAGCGATCCGAGATGCTGTACTGCGAGAAGGGGCCTATATAAATTCACATTGTTGTTGTCGAACACCACTCACTTCATTCCCCCCCACTCCCACACACTAATTTTAACAATAACTAAAGTATTCACTTTAAAAAAAGAATTCTTAGCCAAGCAGGTAAAGTACTGTAGTTCTGAAACCAGTTTAGAAATTATTTTATTATTACATTCTTATTTGAAGTCAAACCACTGTCACAAGCAAATGATTTTGGTTTTGATCGGGGTGCAGGCTATTCATGAAAACTTTGTAAAGGGCTGAGTTATTGGTAATTGGTATTCACTTTACAGTATATTCTGCGAAGCGCTTTGAGACGTCGCGAAGATACGATAAGGCGCTGCATCAAATGTAAGGATTATTATTATTTTAAATTAAAAAATTAATAACTCCCAAGAAATCTTAAAATGCTGATTTCCCCAAAGAAAAGTGATGGTGGCGAGTTTTGTTTGGTAAATCATTTCTTTCAGCTGTGTTAAGGCAGCAGAACAAGTTCAGATTTGCAATTTCAGTTAAAGACACTTGGAATTACACACAGAAGATAATTAATGACTAGAACAGGTAACGAGAAAGCCAGGATCCTGGGACTCATTTAACAAGATTAAAGGAATTTATAAAGAAAAGGAACATCAAACAAAAACTGTGCTAATTATTTATCTTTTGCTATTTTTGCACTGATTACAAAAGTTATCTTTTCGTAATTGGTTTTGCCGTTAATCGCTGTAAGAGCTGGCCTCTGTGAGAAATTTGCTCTCAATTTTTTTCCCCCCACCGCCCTCTCCTCGGTTGGGAATTTCCATTCAGGAAGCTGTAGGTTTTGTTCGTTGCACTGCTCTGTAATCAGCAAAGGAAGAAAGAAATAAAGGTGGCCGCAAGTCCTCTTCTTCGATAAAGTGGGCACTGCTGTGAAGGACTTCAAAGAGTTTAACAACATAGGTGGTCCAACCTTTTGGCTGTTGAGGGTCACATTTAATTTTAAAATGGTTTGTGAGCTGGAAGAAACCATCCCCACCAGCCAGATGCAGCCCCCCCCACCCCACCCATCCCTTCATGTAGGGTAACACCTCGGAGTGCTTCGCAGAGATGGGATTGGAATCTGAGCAAGGGAGAGGGGAGGGGAAAAGGCAGAGGGTGGTGGCCATGGGCGTATTCAAAGAGGTAGGGATTGAGGCGTGACTTGGGCAGAAAGAGAGAGGGCGAGATGGAGAGCTGGAGGGAACCCCAGAGGTTAGGGGTGAGGAACTCAAAGGCTCACCCACGAAGGGGATGAGTTAGGGGAGCAGAGGGAAAGGGTGGGAGCGATAAGGGGGTCCGAGGGATTGGGTGGATACTCACAGCGTGGCATTACTGTATTTCAGACTCGGTAAATCTTCTGGAATGTGATTCGCCTTTGCAACACTGAGAAACAAAAGGAATAATTGCCATTTTACATGAAATATTGGAGGGTTTAATTAACGTCTCTGACTATTTAGAGCCTGGCCTGCAACTGCCAGTTTGGAGGCCAAAAACAACCCAAAGGCACTGTTTTCCACCATCCATCATCGCCTGCTCCGTGCACCCACCCCCTCCCCAAACTGCATCCATCCTCCTGCATGTCCCTCGCGCTCTCCGTTTCACCATCAGTGGCTGAGCTTTCAGCCACTACGCCCCCAAACTCTAGAACACTCTTCCTCTATCCCTCCGCCTTACCACTTCCTTCCCCATCTTCAGATCCCACCTGAAGACCTTCCTTTTCGACTGTGCCTACGGTCACCTCCCCCTAGCTCAGTGTTGGGCTCCCCCACTGTCAAGCGCTGTGGGGCGCTATCCTGCGTGAGGGGCGCTACAGACATGAAAGTTGTTATTGTTGATGGTGTTGTTGAGTCATTCCAATCTCCGCCTTCTGGAGCTCTTACCTCAATGATTCGTTGTCTCCGGGAAGCAATTGCAAAGATGATGGTGATCAAGACCACCACTGACCCAGCAATGATGGGTTCGATTGGGGCTGGAATCACTTTATCTGCCAAAGAAAGAGAGTCATTCAGTGGTTTCGGGCCTTCAGCGACTTACTTACATAATAATAATAATAATAATAATAACCCTTGCATTTGACATAACACCTTATCACATTGTTGAGGCATCTCAAAGCACTTCACAGGAATATACTGTAAAGTGAATTGACTGTCTATCTTGTGGGCGAAAATATACAGTATAAACCAATATATTTACATTGGTTAACACAGCCCGTACAGCACTGAAACAGGCTAATCGGCCTAACTAGTGCCTGTGTTTGTACTCCACGTGAGTCTCTACCCACTCTTTATTCCCTCCTATATCTTTCCAATCCCTTCTCCCTACCTAAAGCAATACTGTATATATTGATAATAGAGCGCTGGGGTTCACCAGATTACCATCTCTGTTTGACACAGTATCCATATTAATCCCTTTGCACGTACTGTGTGTGTTCAGAAACACGCTTAATAATAATCCTTGCATTCGATACAGCACCTTATCACGTCTTCGAGACGTCTCAAAGCGCTTCACAGAATATACTGTAAAGTGAATTGACTGCATGTTTCGTGGGCGATGTACTTCGGGATAGATTTGAGGCAGGGGAACAATCATTTTCCGCTTGCTTTAGTGCAACCTTTCTTCGCTGTGAGCTTGCGTTCTTCATACCTCTTACGAGCAGATAGAAGTCCAACGCTTTGCTGCCAAGGGGGGAAATGGCCACACAGCTGTACGTCCCGTTGTCCGTCTTCAGCAACATCTTTATGGACAGTCTGAAGAGATTGCTGTCCAAGTTCACGCTGTGTCGGCCGCTCTCCAACTTCAGGGTCCTGTTGTCTTTGTACCAGACCATGATTGCTTGCGGGTTGGACTTGGCGTTGCAGGTAAACGTTCGGTCAGTTTCCTCAGATGCATCAACGTAGACATCACTGTCTGCGCTCAGAATAGGAGCAACTGGAAGAGGGTCAGATTCACAATTTCAATCACTGTGCACCGATGAAACTTTGTTAAATCGACCATTATGCTGATGTACGGCCACACATTTTACCTGTAAATGGGAAATTGCTGAACATATGCACCTCTGTTTTTTGGGGATTAACCCGGGTGTCTGACACGTGCGGAAACCCATCACTGTGCTTCAGAGTATCCCAACCAAACTGAGAATTCCATCCAGACCACCTATTTTGTATTCAGAAGTGAGACACGGAAACCATATACATGTGTGTAGTCTGGCTCCCTGAAGGGGCTCAGGACTTTCAGATAAAATCGGGGGTGAGGGGGTAAGGGGAGGGAGGTGTCAATTCGTGGGGGCGCCAAGTCGGGCATTACTTTTAACATTTTGTCCAAAGACGGTAACGTTTTGGGAATTAACGTTTCAAGCAAAGGACAGATTCTCCGACAATGACAGTGAGGTCAAACTCCCGGCGTGGAGCTTGAACCCAGAACTTTCTGATTCTGGGGGCGAGAGAGAGAGAGAGAATACCACCAGTCTCAGTTACTTACATAAGATATCCAGAGCCACGGTGCTGTTGATGTTTTGCTTCCTCTTGAGACGACAGCTAAACACAATCTGGTCGTCCTCCTCTTTGAGTGGATCGATGCAGACTGTACTTGTGTTGACTTCATTCAGGGAGCTCAACCTGACCTGACTCCTCCCTCGAAACCAGACCAGCTTTTCACTCTGCGTATTATTGACAGCTTTGCATTGCAGTGAAATCGAATCGGATATGTTTCTGGTGAGTTTCTGGGGTCCGTTGATGTTGTTTATAGTGATGTACACACCTGAGGCAAGGAAGAACAGGGCTATTGATCGATCAGCCACAAATTCATTGTTTGGACATAGCTCAATAAATATTGGCACAGATACCTTCAACCCAGGTTAACACGCGCTCAAATGAAATGCGTGCCTTTGTCAATTGTCTGAAATCCAGTAACACTCGCATAAGTCTGATCTCTATAAATCGTCTAATCGCCTAAGTCGTACACTTGCCTAAGTCCCGTTGAATTTCCTATGACATATGCAAATTTGACATAACTCATACCCTTGCATAAGTCATATTAAATGTATGGTCCCAACTGATACGACTTACGCGAGGTTTACTGTGTAACATCATTGTGCTCTATGACAAAAGTTGCTTAAGATATAAAATCCATACCTGCACACCCGTGAATAAAACACAACACCGCAATCAGACTCAGTCCAACAATAATATTCCAAACCCTCTCCAGGAACATGTTTAAGTGAATAAGCGACAAATCTGTCCGATGAGCAATCAAAAAAGCTTTGGATTTTCCCCTATGGAAAGTCGGGAACAGAGGACAGACAGAAGAGATCTGTTCCCATAACGCAACAAGCCACGGTCTTGTGTCACCGCTGTTGCTGTCTCTTTTAATGCACGGCAACGCTTTGACATCAAGTGGTTCTGGATGAATTTTTTTATAGCCTCAGTAAAAATGTAATTAGAATTGCAGAGTTTTATATTTTTTTTATTTGCTTTATGGTTTTCAGGGGTTGGGAGAGAGACAGAGAGCGTAAATAAAAATTAACAGCAGAGTAAAGGGTGAGGTTTATGACTTCTCAGGCAGTGCAATGACACCGCCCTGAAGGTGATTTGGATTTGGTTTCATCCCCCAAATTCCCAATCGGTCGCTGATGGTGAGACCCTTTTCAGCTGAAAATTTAAGATCGCGCCAGAAACGTGTGAAAAATCAGTCTTGATCCGGAAGAGGGTTTTACACAGAAACAAGAACTCGCATTTACACAGCGCTCTTCGTGTCGGATAATGTCTCCCAGCTGTGGTGGCTGTTGGTCGGATGTCGAGGGTAGAAGGGGGTAGGGAAGGGTAGGGTAGGTGATTGTAGGTGCGGTTGATGAGGTAGGTTTTAAGGTGGGATTTAAGGAGCGATAGAGAGAGGGGGTGAGGTAGAGGGATATAGAGGCAGGGATTTCCAGAGGTGGGAGGCAGAGTGAATAAAGGCTCAGCCAGTTTCTATAAGGAACCAGAGAACTTTGAACAGCCCCAACGATTTGGTTTGTACAGTGCCCTAAAGCAGGCCATTCGGCCCATCGTGTGTGTGCTGGCTCTTTGAAAGAGTGATCCATTCAGTCCATTTCTACCCGTTTCTTTCAAATGACTCCTGTTTAGATATCTATCTCATTTCCCTCTTGAAAGCTAATATGAATCCTGCCTCGACCATCCCTCCTGGCGCTCCGAGGTCCTAAGTTTGTCAGAATCGAAGAGTTTTCGCTTCGCCCACAAAATATACAGTCAATTCACTTTATAGTGTATTCTGTGAGACGTCTCGAAGACGTGAAAAGTGCTATATCAAATGCAAGGTGTATTATTATTATTATTATGAGCAGTGGTGAAGAGTCTCCAGCTGCGGGAGGTGTAATTCGGGTCTGGAGTTTCCTAGTGATGTCTGTGCAGGCACGAACCGAAAGAAAGGAGTGGTCATTACTCTCTTGGCATCTCATGACAAATTGTCAACCATAGTCCAAAGTATGCACTAAAAGTTAAATATTGAACCAAACCCGACTATAGAAATGCATCTATAAGCACCAGAGCTTTCTCACCGCAATAGAGAACGATAGCCAGTATGTGGGTGCGGGGGGCTGGGGGATTTGGGGGGTGCTGGGGATGTGGGGGTGGGGGATGTGGGTGCAGGGGGTTGGGGGATGTGGTGGGGGTGGGGGATGTGGGTGCGGGAGGCTGGGGGAGGTGGGGGGGGGTTGGGGGATGTAGGGGCTGGGGGAGGTGGGGGGCGGTGAGGGATGTGGGTGCGGGAGGCTGGGGGAGGTGGGGGTGGGTGGGGTAGGATTGTCGGCCGGGACAACAGGCGAAACTCCTTTTCTCTTAAAATCTCAAAGTATATCATCAAGTGGATTGACTGCTGCGTTTCGCCCACAAAACATACAGCCAATCCACTTTACGATACATCCTGCGAGGTGCTTTGAGACGTCTCAACGACATAACGCATCAAACGCATGGACTAATATTATTAGCATTATTATTATTAATCATAAAAGATCCTGCTTTCAGAGTTAAAACTGAAGCATTTGCCTTTAGCACTGAAGCAAAGGCTTAAGTCTTAACCCCAACAGGGCTGTAAACTACAACCAGTTTCCAGGTTGTAACACAAAATCCTTTTGAAAGTGCTCAGCAAAAGCTTTGTTATGCAGTCTCTTTGGTGATTGTGAGGAAGGCTCAGTAAATGTGATCCTTTCCCTGGTGGTGGTGCTGTTCGACAGAGGGATTTAAAGCACATTTCAGAGTGATCTCCACTTCCTACTTCGTCAGAATCTCTGCGACACATCTGCAGCTTTTGAAGGCTAATGGACAGCCCTGGAGATGCCAACCAATGCCAGACCCTGGAACAGAGGAAAGACGGGGGTGACAACCTTTACTATCAACTGCACCTGGTCAAAATGGCCCACCTGCCCGCAGACATCCACAGGTTCTGTGACCCTCGGTTGGATCACACCAGGAGGAAGCAGCTGGTGCAAGAGCTGAGGAACCTGCAGACACTGAGCTGCCAGAAACTGCAGATCCTCTTCTCCTTCTCGGTCCCCAGCCCCAAGGCGATTGCCTTCATCGCCAATTTGAAGCGACCCTTGGTTTCAGCCGGGGCTGTGAGTGCTGCGAGCAGCTAAACTAGGGGCTAGGGTTAGTGATGCAGGGGGAGTGGGGCTGGCAATAGGGCTGTGTGTCTGTGTGTGGGGGGGGGGCTTGCAATAGGTTCATGTGTGTGTTGGGGGCTTAGCAAGAGGTCTGTGTGTGTGTGTGTGTGTTGTGTGAGGGGGCTTGAAATAGGTTTGTGTATGTTGTGGGGACTTGCAATAGTTCTGTGTGTGTGTGTTGGGGGGGTGCTTGCAATAGGTCTGTGTGTGTGTTGTGGGGATGGGGGGGGGGTCTTGCAATAGGTCTGTGTGTATGTGTTCGTTGTGGAGGGGCTTGCAATAAGTCTGTGTGTGTTGGTGGGGCTTGCAATAGGTCTGTGTGTGTGTTGTGTATGGGGGGGGCTTGCAATAAGTCTGTGTGCGTGTGTTGTGATGGGGGGGTCTTGCAATAGGTCTGTGTATGTGTTGTGATGGGGGGTCTTGCAATAGGTTTGTGTGTGTGTTGTGGTGGGGGCTTGCAATAAGTCTGTGTGTGTGTTGTGATGGGGGGGCTTGCAATAGGTCTGTGTGTGTGTTGTGGGGATGGGGGTGGGGTCTTGCAATAGGTCTGTGTGTATGTGTTTGTTGTGGAGGGGCTTGCAATAAGTCTGTGTGTGTTGGGGGGGCTTGCAATAGGTCTGTATGTGTGTGTTATGTATGGGGGGGGCTTGCAATAGGTTTGTGTGTGTGTGTTATGTATGGGGGGGGCTTGCAATAGGTTTGTGTGTGTGTGTTGTGTATGGGGTGGGGGGCTTGCAATAGGTTTGTGTGTGTGCGTGTTGCGGAGGGGCTTGCAATAAGTCTGTGTGTATGTTGTGTTGGTGGGGCTTGCAATAGGTCTGTGTGTCGTCTGAATCTCGTGCCCTTCATGCCAGATAGCCTTAACGTCTTGCTTGTCGATCTTCCCTTTTTGCAGGGAACTGGATACTGGGAGTACCTGCTGCAAAGCCGAGGAATAGATGTGGTGGTGTTCGATACCAATACAGTTTATCCACCCGAAATGCGATACTTAGATATCCAGGTACGTAGCAAAATGTTAACACAACAGCAGTGACCAGGGCAACGATTTATGAATGAGTGAATAATAATAATGATGATGATGATGATGATGATAATAATAATAAGCCTTGCATTTGATTTAGCGCCTTATCACGTCGTCGAGAACGTCTCAATAGGAGCCTCACAGAATAGATTGTGAAGTGAATTGACTGCGCATCCTGTGGGCGAGTCGCGGCAGTCAATGGCAGTGATTGCGTGTGCTTGTGTGTTTGTTTATGTGTGAAGTTAATGCAGACTTCATTTTTTTTAGAAGTCCTAAACAATGTGTGGATGCTAAAACATTTTTTTTTAATGGCTTTAGACCAGTGGGACTGAAATCCTGGAAACATTTGCTGACCGAGTGCTTTTATTGGCCTGGCCCGATGTGGATGGTAAGTGAGGGAGGGCTACTTCGCATTTATATAGCGCCTTTCGCCCGTGGTAGTGGCTTGGAGCGCTAAAAACTGCTAAGGTATTTTTTCTCTCTCTCTCTGCGTGTTGAAAAAGTTGAAGGAGTTTAACGAGCCCCATGTTTATTGCTGTGGTTTCAGAATCTTCCACCTTCTCTCTGGACTGCCTGAGCTGTTACCAGGGGGACACGGTGCTTCACGTGGGGGAGTTAATGGGGGAAACTCTGTCCGCTAATACGTGGGGGCAGTCATCGTCCCGTGCCTTTCAGCTGGCTCTGGCGGAGGACTTCTGCTGCGTCAGCAGAGTTCAGCTTCCAAACTGGCCGGGACACTTGGACTCTCTAACCATGTGGAGAAGAAAGAGCGCTCAGCCAGTGGTGTGCGATGGAGCACATTTTCACTACGTCGACACCGACTGCAGAGAGTATTTGTGATGCGGGAAAGCCAGCCACTCATTGCCAGCTCTCTCTCTCTCTGTTTCTTGTGAGCAATATACCCATCAACCAGTGTCTGGTCTCTGAACTCCACACACTGACAGCCAGCTTCGATGTTCTGAACTCTCCACCCCCACCCCCCACCAACTCTCAACCCCCTGCTTTGACCACTCTTTCAGCCATCTTTCCTCACCATTGCTGAGTACTTTGAGACGTTCCTCCCGAGGTGAAAGGCGCTGTGTAAGTGTGAATCGTACAACCTGTAACCAATTGGGTGCAGCTGTAGGTGTTGGGCAGCCAAAGACCAAGGGCCAAGGCAGCCTTGGCACCAGAATGAGTGTGTACAAATGCGCTAAGACGAGAGGATCGATTTTAAGACCTTTTATTTCAAGATTTCAAGACCTCCGTCCATTGAAGCGAGGTGTTAAATAGGGTCGCGGCACCACAGGTGAGAGATAGCAGATTCTGCAACAGTATGGAGTGCCGCGTATGACCGTAGGCTTTAACACCGGGGTCTTTCTGATGATCAGTCGTCTTGTTGGTGAAACGCTTATTGCTGAATGCGACGGAGGGACTGAATCTGGAAGGTCTGGGCGTGGGATCCCCATTCTCTCCAGTGCTTGTACTCTCCACCATGACGGTCACACTCCATGATGTACTGGAAGCCACGGTATCCTGGGTACTGGTAGCAAACCCATCTGGGGTGAGGAATGAGACAACTGTTTATGAGGCGAAATTGAAATTGCTGGTTTCAGACAGAAGCGATCAATTACTGTTACTGCACTAGTTTGATTCCCCACATATGGCTTTTGTTATGTTATAAGTCAAATTCCATAGGTTGAGGTTAATAACATTCTTCCTATCCTACCCACCGCCACCCCCTATCCCCCCACCAACCCCAACCAAGCGCCTCACCCCCAAAACCACCACCACCGATCTGGAAAATATAGAATCATAGAATCCTGCAGGACAGAAGGAGGCCATTTGGCCCATCATGCCTGTGCTGGCTCTTTGAAGGAACCAATTAGTCCCACTCCCCTGCTCTTTCCCCATAGCCTTGGAGTGTTTCTCCTTTTCAATTTTATACCCAATACCCCTTTTGAAAGTTATTATTCAATCTGCTTCCACCACCCTTTCAGGCCGTGTCTTTCCAGATGATTGGATTCACTCCAAAGCTTTGCTCTTTGCACGATCCCTTGTGTTGATGACTTTGCCCAACTTACGCTCCAGCCTGAATCTTCATGGATCCAACCTCGTTGTTGCACCAGCCCATGGCTTGCAGAGAAGGATAATCGTCACACATCTCCCACTGCCTGCCGATGAAGTTCTCCTTCTCAAAAATAACGATTTTGGACTCCTTATGGTTCTGAAAGGGTGGGGGGGGGAGAGAAGAACCGATCAAAACGTTCGAATTCTGTCCTCGTACAGAGTATGGCACCACACAACTCACATTAATCAGGCACCTTTCACAGCGGGAGAAAGTCTCCGTGACTTAGGTCTGAGTCCGCAAAAAAGCAGGTGAGAAAAGCACGAGAAATGCAGTTTGTGAATTATCATAGTTTAAATTCTCCCCCCTTTCCCCCCTTCCCCTCCCCCTCCCACCCGGCCATTGGCATAAGTTGTCCAGTGCTGGTCTTAAAATTACGTGTGAAGCTGACAGTGTCTCCCTGTGTTAGTGAAACTCACGGCAGAGCAGATGGGGCGGAAGGACATCATTCTCTCGGTGTGGTAAGCATTGCTGCCGCTCCAGGCGTCCCAGCGGGGGTACTCTCCTTTCTCCAGGATGAATTGTTGTCCACAGAAGCTGGAGTGCTCGTAACCGGCCCATCTACGATCGAGACCATTCAACCATTCAACCACAACAACAACAAATTACATTTGTAATGCGCCTTTCACATCAGGAGGACGTCCCAAGGCGCTGGACAGTCAGGGAATCGGAGCTACTACATCGCCTTGAAGGAATTTCTGCTCCGAGCACGGATTCCTACGCTAATTTTGAGAATCCCAGCTGGCGGGGAGCTATCTGCACTCCATTCCAGCCCATAGCTGACTCCCAAGTAAAGTGACCCTTTACTCAGGAGGCCATCTCAAAGCTCCTCACAAGATTTACGGTAAAGTGCAGCGACTGCATTTTTTGTGGGACCTAACGACTTGAATTATTATGGGGTGGGGGTCACTGAAAACATGCACTGTAGTACCGCAAAGGGGTCGTCAGTCCGTACAACTGTTGCCTCGTTAGAGTTGAAAATCTTTTAGAAAGTGACCTTTTTCCCCCCCCCCCCCCCAATAAAAGTTGCTAAAAACAGAATGGCTTCAAATTGGATAAAGCACCTCATCCAGTTCTGCCTGATGAGAAGTTCAAAGTCAATTTATATCACAATTGATTCGTAGAAAAATTACAAAGTTTTTTTTGGATGATATAATTTGTAAATGGATTTTGCTGTCTTTTTTTTAAAAAAAAGCACTTTGCTCATACCATCAATAAATCCAATGTATTTGGTTTTGCATAAAAGCCCAAACAAGTTTAATTAACAGGGTGAAATGGTCATGGCTGTTTCGAAGGAAAAGTTGTCGCAGAAGTGTTTTTTGTAAAGTGTAAAAGTTTTTTTTTTTGACTCACGCTCCACAGTCGATTTTGAGAGATCTGACATTGTCAAAACCACAGTCCATGATGTTCTTGCAGGACGTGGTGAATTCCATCCTCTTGCCCTGGAAGTTTTCTTGATCGTAAACGGTGATCTGCGGTAGAGATATTTTTCGTGAGATTTCAATGAAGATTAGGAATATATATATTAAAAAAAAATCTTAATTTCTGCCGCGGTTAGGGTGATACCTCTTCTCGTTGTATTTATTACCTTGTAAAGTCCGGCTGGGTTTGTCTGTGCCATGATTGCTGTTAATTATGTCCTTTTTCTGTTGGAGTGAACACATAAACATGAAATGTTGGCTCTCAAACAGCTCACAGTATCTGCCCAACTTTTGACACACAAAGTCTTATTACCGCACTTGGAAAACTTACTAAATACTGTGCGATCGCGTACGTTAAGCTGAATTGGCAATCATTTAAATTGAATTTAACGAAAACATTCAGCGAACACAGGTCTTACCAGAGTTGAACTGTTCTGGGTGAGTTCCACACACTATTCTGTGAACAGTTCTGCTCAGTATATATAGGCAGCTTTTGAATGGAGAAAGTGGGAGAAGTGCCCATTCTTTTGTTACTGTCTGATCCCATGGATCAGCTTTTACGCTATAGGCCCGAGCAAAAAGAGATTATAATCTGCACATCAGGTGTACGCATGAATAACCCTTCGGTTGAGGGAAAAAATGAGTAAGAGTGGAATAAAAATCTTGATACATTTTTTTTTGTTGAGGCAAAACTCATTTGGTTATTTTTGGTTTGTCTAAGGGTATTGGAAAGGACTCATTTTGGAATTTAGCTTTGAGTATTGTCACAGAACAGATAGAATCCTAAATCAAACCCACAAACCTAATTATCCATAGTGGATTCTATTCGATAAGACAATTGTGCTGTCTATTTGCAATGTTTGATTTTCAACCAGTTTGAAAATACTGATTATTGTATGTATGTGTTTGTCTGTGTGTGTGTGTGTGTGTGTGTATGTATATATTTTCCATTTGTAATACACTATCAGTGGATATGGTCATATTTTAAAGCATTGAGGTCCCTTCACTACTTTTATGCCAATTAAAAAAGATTTACATCTGATGTTTCTTAAGATATTTCTGTTTCCAGCAATATGAGTTACAAACCGATCGACTTACATGACGAAACAACGGGTGTTATTTTTCCACTGCTACCAATATTTTGCCTGTTTAAATCATTATTACGATTAAACTGGTTGCTGCATTCAACGATGAATACACAGTCTTTACGTTTCACAGTAAAATCCCATGAAGCACATTGAGAAGTTTCGATGGTGTGGTAAGGAGGTGTATCATTGCAAGAATTATTTATTAGACAATGTGGTATTCGGAAATACTGTGAAATGCAACTGTAGTTGTCATTATGATTGAAGGTGGAGTGGAGTAAACAGAGGCAAGAGATCTTTAACGCAAGACCATCATTGTGGATGAGGTAGCGTTATTCTATCTTCTCTGTTTCTCCTATCGTTCTGGCAGAGTTTTAAAAGATTGCACTGCAACAAAGGTGTTAGCTTGAAGTGTATGAGTTCCAAGTCCCGAAGTGGGGCTTAGATCCACAACCTTCTTAAAAAAAGCTAATATTTTATTATAATTCAATAAATTTGGAGTTGTCCTTGTGTGACAGGGATAGATGGAGTGTGAGAGGAATTCTGCAGTGCTCCTGTAATGAGATTTGTGTATACATAGCTGTCGCCATCAATCTAGCACAGCGGTCTGTAACACGATGGACAGGAATGACTCAGGAAATCACATTTAGATCATCTGTTTGGATTAGTTTTCCATTGCTAATCGTTGGGATTAAAGGCAATTTTGCAGCCAAAAAAAAACCATTGAAGTGGGAACTCAGTCAGGCTATCAAACAGGTGTAAGAGACTCAAAATGAAGGTCTGAGATAACGTGTTTTGCTTCAGGAAGAGACACACAACCTGAATGTTTCGGCATTTCAATGACTATATCAGCAGCTGAATCACAGTCACGCTCGTTCAATTGCTTGGTTATCCCAACTCATTGAATATAGAAACTGGTTCAATATAAGACATAAATAATATTAAGTTGTAGGTTTGGTGTTTCGAACGTTGGATCTCAAGGAGCTTTTTTTTCGGGGAACCTTTTTGGGGCATTTATTCATTTAGGGCCTTGGCTTGCAGGGTTAACGGGGGCCGAGTGGGAAGAATCCCTCCCCCAGTGACCGATCAGTCTGCCCCTGCAAACCCTGACGATGAGCCAGGCAGGCTGGGCTGTCATCAGTTAGTGCCCTGGCAAGCTGTGGAGCCGTCTGGCTCGGAAACTGAGAGACCGCCACAGAGGGTAGACTCGATTCCAACATTTCACGGCAAGTACGTCACCTCACAGATGGCTCAGTTGCGAGGGGACCCCTTTTGCCAAAGGAGCGTAACCCCCAGTTGGTTGGTACGATAAGGGATTCTGCTGGCAAGTTCCTTTAAGCAGAAAACAAATAATTTAGAGGACATCGGTTTTGACTCCGTCCTCTACGAGCGGGAAAACGCACAGCGCAAATCATCTAAGATGTTTAAAGAGATCGTCTCCGCAGAGTTCCAACATATCACGTCTGCGAGACGTCTCAAAAAGCGCTTCGCGGAACGTACTGTACGTTTTGTGGGCGAAAGACGGCGGGCAGTTGTTGGGTACAGCAGGGTCCCGCAAACCGTGGATTTTTTTTGTTTTCTTGCTGGACCTGAAAATCTTTTCACCATGCTTTCAGCGCAAACAAAGCAAAAGCCATACAGAGCTGTCTCCTGGCTCAGGCCTTTTGTTCCGGCAAGCTATTGTCTCTTCTATAAACGGACCTCTTTTTTTTTGCTGATCTGGGCGATGGTGCAAAGTTGAAACAAAGCTAATAGCTGATGTCAGTTACTGCTGTCTCAGTGCAATAGCTTTTTTTTTTGTCACTCATCCCGACGTGACCTAACATGGTTCAAAAAGGAAGGAAGTGGGGAGGGAGGTGAACGAACAAATTCAAGGGGACATATAAATAGGATGAGCTGAGGCTTCAACATCACTTTTCATATTTTCTCTTGTCTGACTAAAGCTTGGGCTGTTTTAGGTGAGAAACTGGAACGCTTCCAAAGCGACCGAATTCACCACTTTGACTGTGTGAAATGTTGTGTTGCGTATAGCAGGTGAATGAAATGTTATTCGGGATCGATCAAAAGCCAAATGAACCGCTCCTGTCTTTATTATTGTTTCAGCAGTTGCCAAAATGTCTCACAGTGGAACTCAGGGTAGCATTGGAAGCCATTCTGCTTCAGGTCTTCGCAGCAACCGGGTAGGTAAACTCTGTGGACAATGTTGTTTAGTACTGTAAGGGGCAGGGAGCAGCTAACAGCAGAGCAGCGGGTATATCAGCAGTAAGTGAAAGATCCTCTGTGCTATACTTCAGAGTGCAATCTTAGGTGGTTAGTCCCAGCTCTTTGGGACGTCCTCCCGACGTGAAAGGCGCTGTACAAATGTAATTTTGTACTGTATTGTATCAATCGAGTATATGTTTCGCATCCAATGCTGATGGTAATTTGGAAGCTGCTCGATTGATTGCCCATTTCACTCACCTGATGTTTTTTTTCCTTTAGTTATTTGACTTGTGGTTTGTTGTGCTGTAACTTGCGCTGAATTTGCAGCATTGGTTTGTGCGAGTCAATAACTGGGAGGTGAACCCCAATTCGCAAAGTGCGTGAACTTTAATGTAGTGGCGAGGAACGTAGAGGGTTGAAGCTCGCTTGAGGGTCACTCTGAACCGAGCCCCACGCAGACCAGTGATCGAAAGTCATACCTTTCTGGTCTGCGGGTCTCAGTACCAGATCGGGCAGCGACTGAGTCTCTGTTCAGCCGGGTGTGTGAGGCATGCGGAAACCAACCATCGTGCTTAAGGGTATCCAATCCAACCCAAGCTTCCATGCATCCCACCTGCACATGGAAACTCCAACTGAGTCATTGCAGAATTTTTGAGAGAACACATCGCATACGGTCTAGGATTCCGAATCATTGGCACGGAGCAGTAATAGCCTCCACGCTTTCCCGGTATCGCTTTCGCCCACAGAATACACAGTCAATTCACTTTATAATGATACTAACAATGATGATCCTTGCATTTGATGTAGCGCCTTATCACGTCGTCGAGACGCCTCAAAGCGCGTCACAGAATATACTGTAAAGTGAAGTATATTTTGTGGGCGGAACGCGACAGCAGCGTCCCACAAGTAGTCGTGGATTGAAGTGACCAATTTATTATTCTTATTTTAATTGAAGGAGTTAATCATTTACAGACTTTACAGTAGTCTGTTCTGTGAAGCGCTTTGAGTCGTCTCGAAGACATGATAAGGGAGCTATATCAAATGCAATGATTATTTTATTATTATTATTTATTATTATTATTACGTATTATCGTGGCTGAGGTTGAATCCTTCCTCCTTTTGCGCTCAGATCATCATCTACGAGTACGAGAACTTCCAGGGTCGCCGGGTGGACTTCAACTCGGAGTGCAAGAATATCTGTGACCGGGGATTTGAGAGAGTCGGGTCAATCCGGGTTGAATGTGGACCGTAAGTGCTCCTCTGTTTAATCCCCTGAGCGCTCATCTACGGTACGGCCACTTGCTTGTTCTTTTTTTTCCGACCTATTCCGTGGACAAACGAGTTAAGATGCAGTTTTTATTTTTAATCCGTGGTGGGGTCACCAGGACTCACATTGCGCTACTTGAAAAGAGACGAGAGCTTCTCCTGGGGTCCCGGCCAATAATTCCTCCACCCCACCCCCCAAACCCCAACCCCAAACCCTCCCCCCGCAAATCAGCTCTCTCACTTTGTGGCTGTTTGCGGGACATCGCTGTGAACGCAAATCGGCTGACATGTTCGCCTGTAAAATACACAGTCGCGACACTTTACAGTAAAATGGGAAGCGCTGTGAGATTCGTATATCACGTGAGAGGATTGTTGTGATTATTATTAATCGTTCTTTTTAATGTGGGGAAAAAAAAGACGTAATCGCAGACAGAGGCCAAACCTTGATTCCATTGTGACTGTTTTGCTTTGCAGATGGGTGGCTTACGAGCAGCAGAACTTCAGTGGTGAGATGTTCATGCTGGAGAAGGGAGAATACCCTCGCTGGGACTCCTGGTCTAACAGCTATCGCACTGACCGTCTGATGTGTTTCCGCCCCGTCAAAATGGTAAACGGCAACCTAGGAACAGGAGGAGGCCATTCAGCCCACTGAGGCTGTTCCACCAGTCCATTCGATTTCGGCCAGAATCCCAGTGCCATCGCTCTTTCTCCCTCAGCGATTAATTGCCAGTGACTTTCTGTCACCTTTTAAGACAGTGAAAATGTGGAATGTGCTCAGTTTTTGCGTGAATATTGTGGGCTGAGGAAATTGTTGTTATTGTAAATACTGCATTGTCTTAAATGCCATTTAACGAACATAATTTATAATACCCTCAATTATAGGATATTTATTAATGATAGTACATGACAGTACACTGGTATAATTATAGTATATTACAGTCTACTATAGTATAATCACTGTATATCCTGTGAAGCGCTTTGAGACGTCTCAATGACGTGATGACGAGCTGCATCAAATGCAAGGATTATTATTATTATTACAGGACGGCCAGGACCACAAGATTTGTCTGCACGAATGTGCCAACTTCGAAGGGAGAAAGATGGAGATCAGTGATGAGGACATCCCCAGTCTCTGGGCTTATGGTTTCCAGGACAGAGTTGCCAGCATTAAAGTAGCAGGAGGAACGTAAGTCACCTCGCTTTCCTCCCACAGGAGACTCGTAGAGAAAACGTACGGTCTTTTGTTTAGGGTTGCAAAGGGCAATTTCAAGGCAGACGCCAGGAAGTGTTTCTTTACACAAACAGGCAATTAACGCCTGGAACAAGTTACCATTTGGAGCACAGGTTGTCAGAATATTCACAGTGTATCCTGTGAAGCGCTTTGAGATGTCTCGAAGGCATGAATTAAGGCGCTGTATCAATGCAAGGGTTATTATTAATATTATCCTATATTCATATAGAAAGGATGGTTGAGGCCAGGATGTTGGGCAATGAAAGCAAACGAAGGGCCGAAGGGTCTTTTTCATCCGAACTGATCTTGCGATGCGCAGTTGTGCTAACCTGCCTGAGCTGAGATACTATCTGAACGCATGCTGGCTTCTCCATCAGCAACACATAAATCAGCTCTTTTGTTTTTGCATCCAGCAATGTTTCCATGTACGCAAGTGCGCGTGGCACCATGTACACAAGTGTGCGTGGCACTGTGCGCAAAGCCATACAGTTATAGCGAATCGTTATATTTTGTTCAGCGCTTAAAAAAAACACACGGGCAACATCGGGCCGTTGATCTGTGAATCAAGCGCTCGGGGATGCTACCCTGCCTGAGGGGCGCTGTATAAAATGTAAGCTGCCCCGCTTGTTCTTGTCGAATAGCCTTGTGGTTGATGTATACTCACGCTTCTGTTTCTGCAGATGGGTCGGCTACGAGTACCCAGGTTACAGGGGATACCAGTATGTGTTGGAGTGCGGAATGTACAAGCACTGGAACGAATGGGGCGCCCAACAGCCTTTGATCCAGTCCATGCGACGTGTGAAGGACCAGCAATGGTACAAACGAGGCTGCTTTGAGTTTAACTAAAGCATACAAACGCTCTCCGAGGCAGCCGCGGGAATAATTTTATTGTTCTTCATATCAGGTCCACAGAAATTCAAAGACATCTTTCTCATCAACTTCATACAAATGCCCAGAGTTGTTCTACACCAACAGCTCCCATTTTTTTTAAAAAAAACTTTAACAATGTTAACATCTTTTAGCAGTTTCTGTTGCCGATAACAGATATCGATTATCTCAAGAGCCCAAAGAAAGCGATATCACCTCGTTTTAAGTCTAGCAGCCTCTTGTGCTTCCCACCTCTCTCTTGCGCTCCCTTTCTCTCTTTCTCTCTCTCTCTCTCTCTCTCTCTCCCTCTTTCTCTGTCTCTCTCCCATCACCAGATAGGATTCTGAATGCTTACTGATGCTTTTGGATTTTGTGGCCCTGAAAATGAACAAAGCAAAGTGGAGAATGGGTGAGCCCAGCATCAACAGGCAAATCTTCGCTGTGTCTTTCTCAGGGATGCAGAACATCTTTAGCAAACCTCGCGCACACATACCACCGCATTCAGTTTTTTTTTCTCTCTCTCTCTCTTTCCTTTTCACTTCCATCGCATTTCAGTATTTGTAAACTCATGTCATTACTTTTACCAATAAAAGTAATCTCTGCTGTCTTACCAGAGATAATAAAAAATTGTAACCTCAGCAAGCTGGCTGCGTTCTCTTTTGAGTTGGTGTCGTGCCGAGTCTGTGGTCATCTATAAATCTGGTAGTTAATGGCATGCACCTCTTGTTTTCAGACTATTTGGAGACTCGTTCGTTGTTGTTGTTGTGGGTCGGTGGTTCAGTGGTAGAATTCACACCTGCTACACAGGAGCCCTGGGTTAGATTTGCAGCGAATGCAAAGTATTTAGACCCATGTGGTGTATAAACACCGGGCACGGACTACTTGGGCCGAATGGCCTGTTTCTTTTGTCCTCTCTGTTCCACCATCGGCAGCCGCGCTTTCAGCTACTACGCCCCGAAACTCTGGAACTCCCTGCCTCAATCCCTGCACCTTGCCCGTCTTCAGATCGCACCTGAGGACCTCACTGTGCCCAAGGTCACCTTCCTTCCCCAGCTTGTCAACAAGCTTTGCCATTGTTAAACGATCCAGGACACTAACCCGTGTGAAGGGCGCTGTATAAGTGCAAGTTTGTTATTGTTGTTTGTGTACTGTACAATCATGGAAACACTTAGTCGGCTGTTGGTGTTTCAGTTTCCCTAAGTTGACTGTTTTTTCTACGTTTTCAGTTCACATAACTGTGATGCTGAACTTATCCTTAACGTAGGAATAGAGTGACTCAGATGCTGTTTAGAGAATTCATTACTAGAATATTTCTCAGGTATTAATCCTAAATTACTAAAAAAAAGGAAACATTTGCTGGAATCCGGCCGCAATCAAGTGATAATCATTGTTAAAAAAAAAGACAATTTAGCAGATGATTCCACTATTGACAAGGTACTAGAGAGATTGATCTCGGAGGTCACTGTTTGAGGATGGCAGTAACAATGAATTGATTTCAGCCTTGATTTCTTTCCCTAAAATCCCACTTGAATATTCTACCAGGAATGATTCTGTTCGCCAGTTCACATGGTGCACTATAACATAATAATAATAATATTAATCCTTAGGTTTGGTACAGCACATTTCATGTCAGGAGGACATGCCAAAGAGCTACACAGGATATACTGTAAAGTGTAGTGACTTTATGTTTTGTAATGGCAAATGAGGAGACACAATTATGTTTCTAAACAACACTGATCATATCCCAATGAACCAGCTACTCTTTCTTCCTTATCTTACTCTTCTTTTCCCCCTCCTTCCTCTTTGATTTTTTGAGATTTTTCTTTTACCTCCCAGTATGTGGAGTCCTGTAGCTCAGTGGTTAGAGCACTCGCTTTGCAAGTGAGAGACCTGAGTTCAATTCCAGGCAGAGGGTGAAACCTTGGGCAAGTTTCCTTACTCCACACAGAGCCTAATAATAATCCCTCCAAAAAAAACCCAAAAAACAATAATTAAAATTGGTCATTTTCAATCTACGACTGTTTGTGGGACATTGCTGTGCGCAATTGGCTGCCGTGTTCGCCCACAAATATACAGTCAATTCACTTTACAGTGTCTTCTGTGAAGCGCTTTGGGACGTCCTCCCGACGTGAAAAGCGCTATATCAAATGCAAGGATTATTATTATTATTATGTATATGTATGTACCTTGGCCAATACTCGTCCTTCGCTCAAATTGATCCCCTCAACAGTTCATATAAATCGGGCACTTACCTGCGTTTTACGGAACATCAGTGGTGAAGTCTCACCCACATGGTGTCCACAAAGTTCTGTTACTACCCCCCCACTCATAGTGCACTGACCGACAACCGAAACGTTCGGAAAAATGATGATAATTGTACTTAGAAGTACTTAATTGTATTCAGTACAGGCGTGTAACAAGACTTTGGGGACACCTGTAGTGCGTTTGTCTGGATAAAAGCATTTGTGACATTTTCAGAGTGGTTCTTTTCGTTGAGCGCTTTGAGACAGTTCGACTTGATAAGCTGCAATGTTAACCGCAAACGCTAGACTTATTTATTCTAGATCTTCGTCCTTATCTTTTCAAATGAAGCGTTTAAACCGGGGTTCCCGTCTGCCTGCGATTCCGGGGGACGTTATAGAAATTGCGGGCTGGTATTTGAAAGAGAAACGGGAGCGCGAGGAGGCTGGAAGAATGGCCAGGGATTCTTCCCGCTCAGCTCCTGTTAACTCCTCTGGAGCTCGCTCCCCAAATGCCTCCACCTCACGCGCTCTCTGTCTGGCTTTAAAAGCAGCTTCAAAACTTATCTCTTTCGCTACCCTCCCCCAACCTCACCACTCAGGGTTTGGCACAGTCACTGTGAACTGGAACGAGGAATGATGATGATAAGTATTTCATTGCGTTCAGTTAAAGCGCTCTGCGACGTTACCTCACGTGAAGGGCGCTATCTAAATGCAAGTCGTTGTTGTTGTAAAGCGGTCTGAATGGTTACCCTACATGACCCTGCAAATATACAGTCACGACACTTCACAGTAAATCCTGCGAAGCGCTTTTTAAATTGAGACCGTACGATGACGTATTGAGGCGCTATATCAAATGCAAGGATTATTATTCTTATTGTGTAAAGGCAAATTGTTGTTGTTGTTGCATGAACTGACAAGCCAAATGGCCTTTCCTGGTTTCCTACACCTTAGCGCTCTTATTCAGTTAATCAAACAGCATTTTGAGCTTTGTAACTTACTAAGCAGGTTCCATTAAATTCAAGGATGTCGTACCTTAGTGCAATCCAAATGCCCTGCGCGAATGCTGTCATAATAATAATAATAATAATAATAATAATCATGCTTGCATTTATAATAATATAGCGTTTTATCGCTTCTTGCAAATGTGGCTCGTTCCTGCTCTGTGTTGATCACCTCCAACGCAAGACTGTTCCATTCATGACCACAAGGTGTTGCTCTGTCCCTTCAGTCTTGCAGGACAACAGGTTTGGTCAAGGCGCAAGTTAAGCTGGAGCTCCCTGTGTGCAACCTTGCACCCATGAAGGGATCCATTCATGCAAATAAGAGTAATAATCCTTGCATTTGATATAGCACCTCATCACGTCGGTGAGACTGTCTCAAAGCGCTTCACAGAGTGCATTGTAAAGTGGATTGAGTGGGTACTTTGTGGGCGAAACACAGCAGCCAATTGCGCACAGCAGTGTCCCACAAACAGTCGTGGATTGAGTGACCAAATTATTATTTTTTTTCTTACCGTGCGGATATCTAACTCTGGCACTTGATCCTCGATTTCAACAATCAGCAGTCACCCAATAACACAGTCATACATCAACAACTAGATGGTCCAAACGACACTATCCATAGGCAGGGTATGTGAATGTACAGAAATAGTTAAGAGGAACTGTACTTCCTCTTAACTGTATTTCATCACAAGATATTAGATTATATGACTCAGTTACAATGCACATGATTATAACGATGATCCACCCTTGCATTGGGCAGAGTGCCTTTCATGTCGGGAGGATGCCTCACAGAACCTTTTGTGAAGTGAAGTGCCTGTGTGTATTTGTGGGGGAACGATGTGATGGGACGCTATTTAATGTGCAAGGATTATAATTCTTATTATATAAACGCATGTTGCGGTTATTGACGTCAACTGACGTGAGCAAACTTGCCAGGCCAAATGGCCTTTCCCTATTATTTAATTCTGAGGGCCCTTCCTAAAATAATCAAATTATGTTGGTAAGTAAGACAGGAAACTCTCAAGTTAAAACAATGTGCAACTCAACGACTGACGAACGCTTTCCAATTCCTAATCATGAATAGAGTGCTAATTAAATTATATTTTGCATTGATTTCAATCCCAAATTACTCATGCCTACTTTTGTCGGCCAAATTTGTGTTGTTCCTAATGGCTTATTTGTTTGATAATGTTGCATTGGACGTTAGCCATCACCGGTTTTATTCACCGAAATTGCATACCCTATTGGAATAATTAACAGGGAGGAAAAAACAAAGAGGGTTTTCAGAATGAGCTGCCAGTGTCTGCAAAGTCAGGTCAGGAACAGCTTTAATAATTAATGTGGAAAACAACACAATTGTTCTCGAGGAATATAATTTCATATCAACCAACGCGCGCATGTTTTGATATTGGAAACCTTGCAAATGCTGCATTTCGCTTGCAAAACACACAGTCGCTATTTTCCAAGTAAATCCTGTGAAGCGCTTTGGAACTGTCCTCCCAATGTTAAAGCCCGATGTCAAACATTAGGATAGTGGTACTATTATTTTAATCGTGGGTTTGAATCAGCCCAATTAAACACCTTTAGAGTTAATTTAGTTTCTGGGTGTTTAACTCGCCAACAGCAATACTGGGTTGACGTGCATTCCTACCACTCTGCGTAATCCTTCCTTTCATCACAACAATTTAGACACACAATTAAAAGCCTAGATTGGCGGATTGCGGACACGAATGTATCCACGGCAACCTGTGATAATTGTCGGACAAAAATTAATGTAACGCAGAAGAAGTGAGTTCGAAACGGAAATTGCAGCTGGTGACACACAAATATATTTACGCTGTTGTCTATGCTTAAGAGCTCTAGGACGCGACCCCACGTGAGGGGAACTATTTAAATACAAGTTGTTGTTGTCTATGCGTTGTAGTCATACCTATTTGTTATAACCACTTTTTGTGAAATACGATAAATCTGTTGGAAGATCTATTCGTAGGTCCTGTTGTAGCTAATGGCAGTCAATAACTTGCATGGTTTTGAGAGGAATGACACAAAACCACTATAGACATCATAGTGGATAGTAGTGGAGGTGAAATAAGAGGTTTATTTTTTACGTGTGTACAGCTATCAATCACCTTCACATATATATACATACACACGTTTTTACAGAGAACGCAAAGTAGTTCTTTTTTGTCCCCTCTTTTGGCCCTGAGACAAAGTCAACCGAGTTGGAGATGTAAAGATTAATTTATACGTTACAGGACAAATATTTCGCTGGTTTGATCAATCACATTGCGGTGACAACAAAGCGAGCTGAAAGGCTTGCCTTTTGCTCACGGGTGCGACCAGTATAGAGTGTTTTGCAACGCTCCAAAAAGGCCGGCCTTGCTGCTTTTTGGAAAAAAATTTCCAGCATATTCTTTGTGTTCAGCTGTGAATAGTTTGCGGAGAAGGTGTCTAATTGTACAATTCACCCTGGATTATCCGTCAACACCTTTTTGTCATATACAGTACAATGATAGCTTGTCATATACAGTACTATGTGATGACAGCCCAATCTGTTCGTCCAAACCTCAACGTAACTAACATTGGGTCAAACAATGTCTCCAGCCCTGATGTTGCCATGATATTGGAGGAGGGACAGCAAAAATATTTTTTCTGTCATATTATTTCTCAACGAGGTGAGTATCTGCTGTTCAAGTGAACATTTTAGGACAACTAAGAGTTTGTAACTGCAGTCTCAAGTCTAGTCTTTCCTGTTTGCTGAATCTCACTGTTTTGCACGTAATGAGCGTCAATGAAGTTTTAGTAAAACTTTTTACTATGTGTCGTACACTGTGTGTAAGCTTTTCTAGTGTGACCCAAAATGCTGCAATAGAGGCTACACATATCAACCATTCAAATGGTCTGTGTGTATCTGTGTGCCCTTTTCAAGGCGTTATTATTATTATTATTAAATTATTATTAATCTTTACAATACGTTTGATTTATCTATTAGGTTGTTTAGAACTTTTGGGCTGATTAAAAATTAAAGCGTCAGTCAGACTTATATCAGTCAATTTGTTAAATATGTTGAATTCTATTCAGCTCTGGGTCATAACAGTCTATTAACATTCAAAACAGTATTAACATTTAACACAGCAATACAAATAATTTGCCATGATTGAACACTCACTGAGAAAAATCAAAATATTTGGAAAGAATAAATATCAATGCAGTGAGTGTATTCTTTAAAAAAAATGTTGTTTCAGAATTTTTTTTGACAACATTGAAATTATATAGTGATATAGTTCTGTATCTACTAGTTTTAATTCATGTTTTCCAATACTATTTCTTGGTAATCATATTAATAATCCTTGCATTTGATATAGCGCCTTATCAAGTTGTCGAGACGTTTCAAAGTGCTATGGTAAGATCACGTACAGGGGATTAAATTTGTATTGTTATACAAGAGGCTGCTGAGGTTGGAGTTTCATTTTCAATCACATCAGTAAGGGTTTTAGGTGTTTAGAACACATGTGTATCTTTCACTTCTTTAGTTATTTCCTGCTTTGTTGGGAATATATTGTAAATATATTGTAAAGGGTATTGACTGTGTATTTTTTATCTGTACTAATTGTAGCTTTAATTTTTTTCGCTGCAAAAGGAAATTAGCTTCTGGGTAATGAAAGCGCTGTCGTCATTTTAATTATTTCAATCTCATAGTCTCAAAGCAAAACAATCCAATTTTATGTCCTTTGAAGCACTTTCAGATGTCCTTTCGAAATGAAAGGCACAATTTCATGACTGAACATTTAGATCAATTCGTCCTTCAGATGAGACATTTAAACCAAGGTCCCGTCTGTCTCTTCAGGTGGACTGTAAAGATCCTATGGTGCTATTCAAAAGGGAAAGGGAGTTTCTCTTTCTCCGGGTGTCCTGCCCAACAATTCCCTAAATAAAAAATTGGTCACTCACTGGTTATTTGTGGGACATTGCTGTGTGCAAACTGGCTGCCTCGTTTCGTCCACAAAATGCAGTCAATCCACTTTACAGTCTATAACCTGTGAGGCGCTCTGAGATGCCTCGACACCCTGATAAGACACTATATAAAATGCAAGGAATACTATTATTGTCTCAGTGCAGCATTTTGCCACCAAATATGCCCTACCTCTACCTTGACCTTGGTCCATCTTTAACTTCCAATAGTAAACTCAACATTGTTGCAGACACTATAATCTCCTCCCGCCCCCCGTGTCGTATAGATTTTGCTCACAAAACATGCAGCCAAATCACTTTACAGTATATTCCGTGAAGCGCCTTGAGACGTCTCGAAGGCCGTGATAAGGCCTGTATCAAACGCAAGGATTATTATTATTATTATATACAACACAATGTATTTTGTTGGCGCTGGGATCGGAATGACTCCTGCGTTTTCTTCTCCGTGGATCCACAGGTAAAACATGGGTGATTGGTCCTTGCTTGGCCGGCTTCTGACAGAGGTCCAGCACCATTCCACGGCGATCGGGAAGGTGTGGCTGACCATGTTGCTGATTTTCCGCATCCTGCTGGTCACGTTGGTGGGGGACGCGGTGTACAGCGACGAGCAGTCCAAGTTCAAGTGCAACACCCTCCAGCCCGGTTGCAACAACGTCTGCTACGACACCTTTGCGCCCATCTCCCACCTCAGGTTCTGGGTCTTCCAGATCGTCCTGGTTTCCACCCCGTCCATCTTCTACATCGTGTACGTCCTGCACAAAATAGCGATAGACGAGAAGAACGAAATCAAGAGGGGGTTTCCAGACACCTGCGTTCCTGACGAGCGTTTCCTCCCCGAAGACGAAGCCTTGAGCCACAGGACGGACACCACGGATTCACTGGATACTCAATTGGAATTGCGAGACAGCGACTACGAGGAAGAACAAGTTCGAAGCCAAAAGGAGACCGATCCCACCCTGCTTTCCAATAAGGTGTTGACCATATATGTTGTACACGTCATGTTGAGATCCCTGATGGAGATAGCTTTTCTGCTGGGGCAGTACTACCTGTATGGGTTCACCGTACCTCATCTGTTTGTCTGCTGGACCTCACCTTGCCCAAACAAAGTGGACTGCTTTGTGTCCAGGGCCACCGAGAAGACCATCTTCTTGAACTTCATGTTCTACGTCAGCCTGGGCTGCCTCCTGCTGAACATCATAGAGCTTCACTACTTGGGTTGGGTGTACATTGCCCGTGTACTGTGCACCGCTTGCTCTCCCTGCTGTGAGAAGAAGAGGTACAAAGAAGCCGTGCGGCGGTACTCACAGCGCAACCCGCTCCTCTTGGAGCTAAAGGATTCGTTTCATGCCAATCTGATGCTCAAGTCGTCCGCTCAGATGCTCCCGGAGAAGCACCCACCGAGCCCGGTGGCCATTTTATTCGAGTCCGGGTCGGCCGAGTGCACCAAGAAAATTCCCGAGGATAAGGAACGGACCCGGTCGAAACACGGAAATCTGAACAAGTCTGGGAAGAGCAAGAAAGTTTGGCTTTAAAATGGAGAAAGCGCCATTTCTTGTAACGGATTCCGTTTAACTCTGAGTGTCGCGTGCACCGCAAATTGGAAGTTAGGAAAAGATCCTCGATGCAGAGAGAGGGTAGCTGCAGGAAACAAAATGAAATTTCCCCCCTATGTATCGCCTTCTTATGACACCTCCTTATTTAGGTGACGGCCTGACTCAGTCAGCAGTGCTCTCACCTCGGAGTCAGACAATTGTGGGTTCAAGCCCCGGGGTCAGGACTTTGAACTCACGTAGTTTAGGCTGACCCTCCAGTACAGTGCTGGGGAGTGACCTGCATTGTCAGAGGTGCTATCTTCATCTGAGACATTAAACCGAGGTCCAACTCTGTGCCTGTTCATGTAGACATTGAAGATCCCATGATCCCAAAAAGAGAAGGGTGTTTCTTCCAATATCTTGGCCAACAATCCCCTCAGATAAAAATGGTCTGTTTATGGGACATTGCTGTGCACAAATTGGCTGTTGCATTTGCCTACAGTGAAGCACTTTGAGATGTGAAAGACCCTATATCAAACGCAAGTATCATTATTATATTATTTATCCTTCTGAACCCTCAGAATCCTAACTAGCCACGTATTTAGACTTCTCCGTATTGGTAAGTACTCCAAGTTCTACCTCAAGACAGACACTACCTATTTGAGAGGTCGGAAGGCTTACAAGTTCCCATTATGCATGTTAATAATATAATGGTAATCCTTGCATTTGATATAGCACCTTATCACGTTTTCGAGACTTCTCAAAGTGCTTCTATTGCATGAGTCTGGGTTGGGAAGCCTTTTCTCCCCTATTTCCTTCTGTTTTAGTTGATAGATGAGAAAAGGAACGGCGTCTTGTAAATCTTTCCCTTTGGAACGGGATCTAAAGACAAAGCAATTACTAATGGCATTCCTTAACAAGGAAACAAGACACACCAACTCATGGGAATTTGCCAATGTGACCTACTCTCAGTAGAGTTCCTCTAGAGTTGGCTTGACGTATGTTTCTGCTTCCTTGTTAAGGAATCCCAATGTGGAAAATGCTACATATTAGTTTCCGATATCAGCCAACAACTGACCTCAACACACCACCCTCCGCAATGAAATACCATTTACTTGTAACCTTAACTTACTGTTAGTGAGTGGCTTATCTCCGCTTTAAAATACTTTCTTCTCTCCTCTCTCTACTACTGTCTTGCTGTCTGTTTCTGGTGGTCCTCTTGAACCTTCTATATTGATCTAAACACCTGACCAGTTCATAGGCACAGCTCATATGTTCTTTAAAACGTGATTAGATTCTGCACCGCGCCAACTAAGTTCGCATGAATTTTATTTCTGATGAAACCATTAAATGTATTTTTTGCTTGCTTTGCTTTGCAGGTTGCAACATTTCTTCCTTGTTCAGTCACTGTATTTTCTTGATGCTGTTCTTGCACATTTGCTTGTATGCACACTCATGGATGCGTTTAGAAGCGTATAGGCTACGAAGCTGGTCAGATACGACAGTTTGAACCATGATGGGGAAGAGCTCAGGGTGGGGCGCGGGGGTGGGAAATCCTGTAATACACAACAACTTGGTCTGGGATCGCTTGAAGCAATTAATAATAATAATAATCCTTGCATTTGATATAGCGCCTTATCACGTCTTCGAGACGTCTCAAAGCTCTTCACAGAATGTGTTGTAAAGCGGATTGACATGTATTTTGTGCAAATGACACAGGAGTGTCCCACAAACAGTTGTAGATTGAGTAACCATTTTTTTTTGAGGGATTATTACTCCCAGAAAGCGATCCGCCAATCGACTCGCTCTCTCTCCCCTCATTCAAGTTCTGTCTCAAATCGAAGCGTAGCTCTTTAACCACGCTTTCAATCAACATTTCCCACCCCGTCCAATTGAGCTCCCCCTCCCCCCCAGCTCAGGTGCTCATCCAGCAATGTCAAGAGCTTTGAGACGTCCTCCCGACGTGAAAGGTGCAGAGTAAATGTAAGTTGTATTGTATTGAATTGCTTCCATTGGCTTAGGATTCAGTAACTCACTGTAACGGTGGCTGATATTAACCAGAATTTTTTGAGGATCTCATGAGCCAACATGAAGGTGATCTTGAAAACTGGCAGCACAAATCCCCTTGCCCCCCATGGGCAGAAAGCTGTTCTTCATTATCAGTAAGTTAATCCATGGTGTATTTTGACTGCTGACTTTGCTATGTAGCAAGTTCAGACTGGACTTACTCCAATAGTTTGAATAGGTTAGGAGACAGACCGGCTAGATTTTGTTTTGATGGAAAAAAATATTCACAAAGTTATGGGGAAAAGGCAAGTAACTCGAATTCAATGGATTGCTCTTTCAAGGAGCAAGCACACACACAATCGCGATGCTACAAATGTCCTTACTATTTGCTTGTATATTTTTATGGTTCTACAATGTTTCGGTGCCAAAAATGAAAAGAATAAAGAGAAGGCTTGTTCAATGGGTAAAGACATTACAGGTGAAGTACAGGATCACACAGACTGGAACGTTAAATGGTTACAAATCCCGGGTTGTGCTGAATTAGCTGATATGAGCTGGGAGAGCAGTTGGGACTTCTGTTAGCCTCAGAAAATTAACCAGCTATCTCTACTTCTGATCATTATCCAGTAATCTCTATTGGGAGGTACACGAGTAAATGTCCTCCACCATAACAGTATATCCTGTAAAGCGCTTTGAGACACCTCAACGATGTGATAAGGTGCCATATCAAGTGCACGGATTATTATTATTATTCTTGTGAGTAGCTGCTAACACTCGCTGTCAGGGCTCCCACATAAAGGATGGCCACTTTGATGAGATACTGGAGAGATACTGGTTTATAATGGAACCATTGGTCCAGTCAAAGACAAAACCAAACCATATAAGGTCAAATGCCTCTAAGAGAGGAGAAAAGGGAAAAGGAATAAATTTGGAGAAGAAAAATAGCCCTAGGGCCCGGCGAAACCTTAGGCAAGTTTCCTTACCCTTCACGCCTCTGTTTACCTTGCAGTAAGTAGAAACCCGGTTGTTTGACGATTGGCGGATCGCTTTCCGGGGTAATAAATTCTCAAAAAAAAAATTGGGTTATTGAACTCATGACTGGTTGTGGGACACTGCTGTGCTTAATTGGCTGCCGTGTTTCACCCGCAAAAATACAGTCATCCACTTTACAATATATTTTGTAACGCTTTTTGAGATGTCTCAACAACGTGATGAGGCGCTATATCAAATGCAAGGATTATTATTATTATTATAATTTTCATTATTATTAGAGCTTGGATAATTTCAATCCAGTTCCCAGAGAACAGGAGTCCAGAGTAATTCTGATGATAATTCATCAGTGCTTTTGGTCTCTCAGTCAGTTATGCCATTATAATGATGGATAATGTGAGAGTTGAAAAAGTACTTTGGGATTAACGGAAGCAGAGGAATGATACTCTGCATCTGGCTATGATATGTGTGATGGCTGAGCTATGGCTGTGTTAGGTTGTGGGTGGCAAACCTGAAGAAGTGTTTTTTTCATTCCTTAGCATCAACATCCTCTCTCTCGATGAGCACACAATCACCAAACGAATACAGCTTAGAATAGTTTTGCCTATTATCTCTTATCATTGCCAAGGTTGTCAGCTTGGCTTTGTAATTTTCAATGTCACCAAGTTGTCCGGTTAGGTTTGCAGTTTGAGCTACGCAAGATCAGAGAGGAAGGTAAGGCAGGATTTTTGAAGTGTTAGGCTATTTATATACACATATATATATTAAACTCAATTGCATGAGCCATCTGCATTCTCTGTTGCTGCATGCTGTATTTTTGAAGCCTGTGCTCTTTAAACACTTTATCCACTCAATAAAATTTACTTGTAGTCACACTTGAACCATACAGTTTTAATCTTCATGCTTAATCTGCTTTTATGATATGATATAAAAATAAACAATATTGATACAATTGTGGGCTGTCTGTATTATTAACAGCAAGACAGAATTATTATTATATTATTTACAACAGGGTAAAAGTGCAAAGGTAAGCCAGTATTTTGTGCGCTCACTGTGCGTGTTCTTTATAAAAATGCAAGGATTATTGTGTTCAAGACCCACTTTGAGACTTTGAGCTCACAGTGCATGGAAGGCTGCATTGTCGGAGTGGCCGTTCTTCAAACGGAACATTAAATCAAGGTTCAGGCTTCCTGTTCAGGTGGACATAAAAGATCCTGTGGCATTATTCGAAGATACAATGGAGTTTCTCTCAGTGTCCTGGGCAACAATTGTCCCAGTTAATATTAATCAGTCACTTCATGGTTGTTTGTGGGACATCGTGTTGTGCAAATTGGCTGAAGCCCTTTGAGACATCCTCCCAATGAGAAAAGCAGCTATATTTTTGTCCACAAAATATACACTTCTGTGAAGTACTTCTAGACGTCCCGAAGATGTGATAAGGTGCTGTATCAAATGCAAAGATTATATTATTATCACCATGGATACAATTTTCCAGTAGTAAGTGAAAAGTTTTTGTTTTCCAGTTCACTTTTCTCCTCTTCAGGTTTCTCTGGACCGTATATCATTCTTTATTAAAGTGGACGTTAGAATCCACAGACTCTCCCAATATTTCATCATGTAAGCAGGCATTAGGAAATACACAGGAGTGTTGCTTCACCCTGAGGTGTAATTCTTCCCTGATGACACAGTTGAGATTGTGAATTCTACATTGCGGGGAACCACAGGCATCTGTCCGTCTGCCAAAGAATTTTCATTTTATTTATTTTAACGTCAGGAAGATTAAAGTTAGATTTAAACTTTCTGCTCTGGACACTGGGAGATAGGGATCGGCACTGAGATGTCTCATCAAGATTCCCAGTCGACCTATTGAAAGTTGAGCATCACCTGACTTGACAAGCAGAAGGTTGTGGGTTTAAATCTCAGCACTATCAGACAGGTCTGGGCTGCTGCAATATACGCCTGAAGGGTGAACAGCTGTCATTCTCATCTTAACTTGTTGCAAG